AAGAAACTAGATTTAAAATTGAACCCATCATAAAAACTTGTAAAAGTTATCAAAACTTCTATTAATAGCTGGTATTTTAAAATTAATTGCCTATAAAAATAATCTTATTAATACTATTCATGTGACCCTCTTGAGACTAGAAAAATGCCTTCTCTATATAATTAATTTTGAATAATCAATTTTTAATTTCAAATGAGGAAACCAAATAAATTAGAATCGTTGGAAAGAAAGGAAATATGCCACTACCTCTTGACTAGTGTCTGAAAGTATATTGTGTATATTTATGAAGAAAAGCAACTTGGTAATTATCTATGTTTGTTTATTCGCTGAAGCACCTTGGAACCCATTGGTAACTGGTCAATATTTAATTTTGTATGAGGCTTGGTGGTAAAGAATCTTCCTGCCAATGCAGGTGATCCAGGAGATGTAGGTTTGATCCCTGGGTCAGGAAGATCCCCTGGAGAAGGAAATGGCAACCCATTCCAGAATTCTTGCCTGGGAAATCCCGTGGACAGAGAATGGCGGGCTACAGCCTATGGGTTCACAAGAGTCAGACACAACTTAGCAACTAAATAACCACAACAGAGCTGGGGGATGACAGGGCTGTGTGTGTGCATGGTAAGTTGCTTCAGTCATTCCACCTCTTTGTGACCTCATGAAATGCAGCCCACCAGGCTTCTCTGTCCATGAGATTCTCCAGGCAAGAATACTGGAGTGGGTTGCCATGCTCTCATCCAGGGGATCTTCCCAACCCAGGGACTGAACCTGTGTCTCTTGCATCTCCTGCATCGGCAGGCAGGTTCTTTACCACTAGTGCCACCTGAAAAGCCCAATACAGGGCTAGTATTTGTCAGATATATTCATCTTTCAGACAAAGCCTGTCTTCAATGCTTTTCCTAAGTATCAACCTAGTTACCATTAAACCAATTAGATACCTATGTCTTACTGTCAGAACTGCAACTCTTTGAGAAAAAGCGGACACTGGGTTCAGATTATACCTGTCAAAAGTTTGTGTTGTTCAATTATTGAAAATTAAACAAGGTTTCTTAGAGTTGGAATATCGGTAATCCAAAGAAACAACTTTTTTTAAAGGGGGGAGGGGAATGAAAGTGTCTCAATGTGTAGTAAAAATGAACAATGAATCAGTAAGTTATTTTAGTACCTAAGGGTATGAGGTCTTATGCAAATCCTTCTATTTCCTTTAAAGGATCACTTAATACCATAAGGGGCATCTTCTCTTCAGCCTTATCCCAACTGAAAGACATATAGATGACCCCAAAGGCCCCGTAAGAGCAAAGTAGAAGTTTACCTGGCTGCCTAGATACATAAAAATGCCTATATGCTGTAATAGTATTTTTTACTTTCCTTAACACTTTTTCAGGGAATTCCCTGGCGGTCTGGTGGTTTAGGCTTGGCTCCTGGGGCCTAGGTTTGATTCCTGGTCAGACAAACAAAAAGACACCAAAAAAACATTTTTTCACACTGACAAAGTCTACATGGGTGACCTTTTCTGAAATAACCACTGTAAGAGAAAGGAAAATCAAGGATGCTTCCTTTTAATGGCATGATTCAATTAGTCAGCTAACATTTCAGGGACACTTCAGTCTACCTAATGGGGACCTTACAGTGAAAGCTGCCCCATATTTGAATCCTGGGACCCCATTTTACCAGAGTAGGAACCGAGGTGTATGCTGGCGGCAGTTATAGGTTTCTCACTGAAGGACAGCAAAGTCAGGGTGGGTTTTTAAGGAGCTATTCCAGATTAGCTCATTTCTATCAGCCAATCTTTTCATTTGAGTATCAATTCATTGAACATGGTCAGTTCCTACGCTACACCCACCTTGGGTCTATACCTGCTTCTCACCCTTTTATCTCCAGCACTTATTGCAATGGTTTACTTCTAGAGGCACTTAGTAAATGTTTGTTGAATAAATTTACTAAAAGATGTCAGCAAAAACTGACAGGCGGTTAGAAGCGCATAAGGGGAGGAAACTCCCTCGGCGGCCCAGTGGTTAGGACTCAGCTCTTCCAATGCAGCAGGCCCGGGTTCCATCTCTGGCTGGGGAACTGAGATCCCACAAGCCATGGGGCACAGCCAAAAAAGCAAAATAAAGAAGTAATAAAATAAAAGAAGTACATAAGGGGAAAATGAGCAAACAGAGCAATGGGACCCAATGGCATTCCTAATGAAGAAACTTCAAGGAATTAGGTTTCCTAAGATACCAATAATTTGATATGACCTCAAGTTAGATTGTGAAAAAGAATCTTTCCAAAAACTGAGAAGCCACAAACTGAGAGAAAATACTCTCAAAAGACATATTTGGTATAAGACTATCATCCAAAATACATTAAAAAAACTCTTGAAACTCAACAGTAAGGAAGTGAATGACCCAACTTAAAAATGGCGGAAGACTTAACTAGACGACTCACCAAAAGAGACATACAGATGGCAAATAAACATATAAAAAGATGCTCAACATCGTACGTCATTAGGGATTGCAAATTAAAACAATGAACTACTACCACACACCTATCAGAATGGCCAAAATCATGACAATACCAAATTCGGGTGAGGCTGTGGAGCAACAGGAACTCTCATTCATTGCCTGCAGGAATGCAGAATGGAACAGCGACTTTGGAAGTCACTCTTACCATTCAATCCAGTAAACACGCTCCTTGGTATTTATCCAAATGAGCTGAAAAGTTAACACAAAAATCTACACATGGAGGTTTGCAGCATCTTTATTCAGAGTTGAGAAAAATGGAAGCAACTTAGATGTCCTTCAGTAGGTGAATAGCTAAGTAAACTGTGGTGTATCTGGATATTGTGATATTACTCAGCACTAAACAGAAATGAGCCATCATGTCGTGAGAAGATGCACAGAGGAAACTTAAACACATGTTACTAAGTAAAAGAAGCCAGTCTGCAAAGGCTTACATACTGTATGAGTCCAACTATGACATTTTGGAGAGATCAAAACTATGTAGACAGTAAAAAGATCAGTGGCTAACGGAGGTGGGGAGGGAGGGAAATGAGGTGGATTTTTAGACAATGAAACTATTTTGAATGATACCATAATGGTGGATACACGTCATCATACGTTTGTGTAAGCCCACAGAATGTACACCACCAAGAGGGAACAATAATGTAAACCACGGACTTTGAGTGATGATGACAGGTCAGTGGAGGTTCATCAATTCTGCTTAATTTTGTCTAAACCTGAAACTGCTATAAGAATAAAGTCTGTTTTTTAAAAAGAATAATAACTTACAATGTTTTAAACAGAAAAGTCAGGGAATTCCCTGGTGGTCCAGTGGTCAGGACTCTACTTCTACTGCAGGGGGGCTGGGGTTCAATTTCTGGTAGGGGAACTAAGATTTTGCAAGCTGTCTGGTGCAACCAAAAAAAAAAAGAAAAAAGGTCAATGTAAGACTTGATTTTAGGTGTCTGTAGTTACTCTGCTTAATATAACCATATTGGCCTCTAAAACCTTATAGGGAAAACAGTTCTACAGTATAGAATCATATTTTTATGCTTGATTTTTTAAAAATTAAACGTAACCTCAATAACACTACTTTGTGATAATTTCAGGAAGATGTTGGAGAAAAGAATGTGAGAGGTAGGGATGAAATTTTTTCTGTGAAGAAAACTACTGAGTTGATTCCAAACTTACAGATTTGGGGGAGGCCTGTGAAAAGCATCGTGTTTTATTTCTGCACCATAATCAGGGCAAGCCATTCCTTATGGATATGGCTCTTCAAATGTTAGACACGGTATAACATGAGTGAGTTACAGTGTGACAGTGACTCCAATCCCAGGATCTGAAAATGTATGACCACAAAGTCTAGTACACGCATGTTCACAGCAGCGTTATTCATAATAGCCTCAAAGTGGAAGCAATCCAATTCCATCAACTGATGAATAGTTTTTAAAAAATGTGGTATATATCCATACAAAAGACTACCGTTGAACGAAAATGAGGTAGTGACCCATGCTACAACATAGATAACCCTTGAAAACACTACACTTTGTGTAAGAAGCTGGTTATAAAAGACCACATACCGTATGATTCCACTTCTATGAAATGTCCAAGACAGGCAAATTCACAGAGATGGAAAGCAGATTAGTGGTTGCCAGTAGTCTGGAGTGACTATAGATCCAGGGTTACTTTTGGGGAGATGAAAATTCCCAAATTAGACAATGGTGATTGTCAAACAACTTTGTAAATATTCTAAAAACCACTGAAATGTCCACTTTTCAGTTCAGTTCAGTTCAGTCGCTCAGTCGTCTCTGACTCTTTGCGATCCCATGAATCGCAGCACGCCAGGCCTCCCTGTCCATCACCAACTCCCGGAGTTTACTCAAACTCATGTCCATTTAGTCGGTGATGCCATCCAGCCATCTCATCCTCTGTCGTCCCCTTCTCTTCCTGCCCCCAATCCCTCCCAGCATCAGGGTCTTTTCCAATGAGTCAACTCTTCACATGAGGTGGCCAAGGTACTGGAGTTTCAGCTTCAGCATCAGTCCTGCCAATGAACACCCAGGACTGAAATGGGTGAAACTGTACAGTGTGTGAATTACATCTCAATAAAGCTATTCTATTTATAGTTTGACTCTTAAAAATGTAATTATATTACATCCAACTTTACTACTTTACTGATGAAAATATAAATTTAGAGTATATGAAAGATTTGCTCTACAATAGTTCTACAATGTCCTATTTACAACACTTTACAATAATATTCTTTTAATGTAGATTAAAAAATCAAGGAAATACTACAAAGGCAACAAAAACAAGGACAAAATTACATAATTTTGATACTTCACGAGACATAATTAGATTTTTCTATAAGTTAGGCTAAACAACTACAGTAATATTTAAATAAATCCATTTGTTTTATAAAAAGAAACACCCTAACACAGTAGAGTCTTGTAATGTCTTGGTGAACACCAATTTGATGCTTTAAGATTTTAATGTGATGCTAATAAATTTTCAAACTCAGGCAAGTTTAGAAATGTCTTCGTATTGAATTCCTTCAACTCTGCGTCCTTTTAAAGGGCCCTACAAATTAAAATAATTGAAGAAGTGGTTAAAAACACACATGCACTTACAAGACAAGAAAAGGACATATGCTTCTGGATGCCAATGTGCCTTTTTCACACCCTTAAGACACCATTAAGGTAGCTAACAGATCTTCATGACTCTGAATTTTTAAAAAATATCCTATGGCGTCCTTGTCAGGAACTGGTCATGTTTTCTTCATGCTGGGTGGGATGTGTTACCACTAGATACTGTGGTGGAGACCTGCTGGCTAGTCAGCACCTCCTGCCCCCTCCCTGGCTCCCCCGGTCAGGCATGGTGTGAGACAGTGCTCCGGCCCACGGAACGGACCAGGAGTGACACGGGGCTGGCCCAGGCCACGCACCCTCCAAACGCAGCCCATGGGCCAGGAGTGACATGGGGCTCGCCCAGGCCACGCACCCTCCACACGCAGCCCACGGAATAGCCAGGAGTGACATGGGGCTCGCCCAGGCCACGCACCCTCCACACGCAGCCCACGGAACGGCCAGGAGTGACACGGGGCTCGCCCAGGCCACGCACCCTCCACACGCAGCCCACGGAATGGACAGGGGTGACACGGGGCTCGCCCAGGCCACGCACCCTCCACACGCAGCCCACGGAACAGCCAGGAGTGACATGGGGCTCGCCCAGGCCACGCACCCTCCACACGCAGCCCACGGAACAGCCAGGAGTGACATGGGGCTTGCCCAGGCCACGCACTCTCCACACGCAGCCCACGGAATGGACAGGGGTGACACGGGGATCGCCCAGGCCACACACCCCCCACACGCAGCCCGTCATGCTCCCCATGATAAGATGACACAGTGCAGCAGTGCAAGGATCTAAAACCCCTGTCTCAGATCCTTCCTTTGAAGACAGGTCAGGTCTCACTCTTGTGAGCAGAGCTGTCAGTGGAGCAATTCTAAATGAACCAGCAATTTTACTTAAATGTCAGATTCCTGTGAGTGAATTACTTTATTGATCTCGCCTACCTTAAATCCTTTATGAAAGAAGGAAGAACACTGAAAAATTATTGATCTCTGTGGCTTTCCTCCATTAATCATGACTATACATTCCTCACTAATTACACTCTGGCAGATAAAGTTTATATTAGATATGAGGGGGGAAAAACTGGGATACAAAACTATACATATTATACACAATTTTATAAAATACAAAGATGGGGGAAAAACAGGCTAAAATATTAATGGAGGTTATCATTTGCCTGGAGGCTTATGGGCAATTTTTTTAAGTATTTATATTAAATTGTAATTTTCAGCTTTTATACAAGAGTATTGCTGCAGACTGAATGTTTGTGTCCCACCCAAAACTGATTCAATACATTAAAATGTGATGGTGCTAGGAGGTGGTGAGGTCACAAGGGCAGAGCCCATGAGAATGGGCTTAGTGCCCCTGAAAACGGATCCCAGAGCGCCCCCCGCCCCCGCCCCCCGCCCCAGCGGTGAGAGAACATGGACCAGGACACGGACCCTCAGCAGACACCCAGCGCTGCCTGCGCCTTGGTGTGACACTTCCAGCCTCCAGAATGTGAGCCGTAAGTTTCTGTTGTTTCTAAAGTCATCTGGTCTATGGCAGTTTGTTATAGGAACGTGAACAGATTAAGACAAGTAAGTATGGTATTTCTTTTGTAATCAGAAGATAAACTGCTTCAGCAATGTCAGTTATTAAAGAAACCAGGCTTATATAGGGACTTCCCTGGTGGCCCAGTGGTTTAGAAACCCTCTTCCAAGGCAGGGGTGCTGGGTTCAATCCCTGGTTGGGGAGCTAAGACCCCACATGAAGTGAAATTCATTCAGTCACGTCCGACTCTTTGAGACCCCATGGACTAGTCCATGGAATTCTCCAGGCCAGAATACTGGAATGGCTAGCCTTTCCCTTCTCCAGGGGATCTTCTCAACTCAGGGATCAAACCCAGGTCTCCGACACTGCAGGCAGATTCTTTACCAGCTGGGCCACAAGGGAAGCACAAGAATACTGGAGTGGGTAGCCTATCCCTTCTCCAGGGGATCTTCCCAACCCAGGAACTGAACTGGGGTCTCCTGCATTGCAGGTGGATTCTTTACCAACTGAGCTATCAGGGAAGCCCAGATCCCACACGCCTTGTAGTCAAAAAAACCAAAACATAAACATAACCAAAAAAACCAAAACATAAATTAAGTAAAGACTTTTAAAAATGTTCCATGTCAAAAAAACTCTTAAAAATAAGGGGTGGGGTGGCAGGGTCGGGGCAGGGGAACCTTACAGATTTCCAAACAGGAGAGAATACAAACAGAACACCCAAACGCATAAATCACCAATTCAATTACAAAAACCATGGCACATTTTAAAAGCACTTTGAAATTTGTCTTTCTGTAAATATACTTACAGTTTCAATGACTATAGTAGCAGAAAAAGTCTTCTCATTGATGGATTCTAGGGTGCCTTCATTTCCTCTGTAGCCTCCATTTAAAACAAGGATTCTTTTTCCTGCAACAGAAAAAGGGATAACACTTAATACAAAGAAAATGCCACTTTCTTCTACTTTCTTACAGCCAAATATAATTGCACTGCATCAACACAGTGCAAGTTCTTAATCATTTATTATCTGTATGATTCTAAAGTACAGTTTGTAGATACTTCGATCACCATCACATTATAAGACTCCTCATTTTTTCCACTTATTTGTTAAGGGATGTTTTAATTTAAGACCAAAGAGCATAAAGTTCTTGGAGGGGACGCCAAGAGCCCATAAATAACCAGAAAAAATTCAGCTTATTTTGCCTCTTTTTAAAATCACAGGATGCTTGTTAGTTTCATAAAAATGTAAACATATGCCTACTGAACCATTCTATCTCTAGAATTGTCTCAGAAAAGATATCTTATGTCTATATAAAGATCTGTACATGAATGTTCATATAGCAGTTTTATTTGTAATGGCCAAGAACTTTAAACAATCCCAATGTCCATCAGTAGGTGACTGGATAGATATTGGCATGTCCACATAATGAAATACTCAGCAGTAAAAACTGATAGGGTACAGAGGCACACAACATTATTCTAGATTCATCCAGAATAATAGATGAATGGGCTTAGTGAGAGAAGCCAGACAAACAGAGGACACCTGGTATGATTTTATTTCTATAAAATTCCAGAAAAGTAGGAGCTAATGATAGAATGGAGACTAGTGGCTGCCTGAGGGAGAGGGAAGGCAGAGCAGGGAGCAAAGGGCTATAAAGGAAATGGGGAACTTTGCGGGGGGTGATGGTACATTCACTAATGTGATGGTAGCGATGGTTTTCATGGGAGCAGGTATGTGCTATAACTTATCAAATTATATACCTTATACACAGATGCAGTTTATGTCAGTTATACTTCACTAAAGTTTTGGAAAAAAAAGTCCACAATTCCTAATCCATAAAACAAATTTTGTTTTAGGGAGAAAGAATAACGGGATCTGATCTGATAAACCAAGTCTGAGAGACTAACATCACTGTGCCAGCAATGATAATATCATGAAGGGTTTTGGGTCAGAGGCAGACAACCTAACCACAGTGGCATTTACACTAGAAATCTGTAAGATGATTAAGGAACAGAAAAAGCAAAATAAGACTACCTTTTACTTTACTTTCTCAAATGGCTAAACAAATGCATTAAGAATCATTCTAACATGATTGATTTTATCCAGACATGTCTATGATTTGCTTCTGGGGAAAAAAAAAACAAACAGATTCTAGGAAGGGAAAATTTATTCATGCCACAAAATAGCTTCCTCAGAGGATGGGTAAACAACCGCATCACCAAGTCAAACAGGCTGGTTACAACAGGCGATTACATGTTTCTAAAGAGGAAACTCACATCTGGAACTGTTGAATAATACCAGTAGGAATGGACTCACTTGTTCCCATGGTATATGTACTAAAGGGTCTGCAGAGTGATTTACCTGGTGCTGGAATGACTGTCTCTAAATGAGTCTGGTCAAGTTTCAGCTTGTCTCCAGAGTCAATCATCTTTACGACAGCTGTGTATTTGTCAATTACTTCCTGTCATGTAAAACCAACACTTTTATAACAGAAGAGAGATGCCAATATGAAGTCCAAGGATAGAAGTAAATAAATGAAAACAAATGAAATTCTAATCAAAGAGTAAGACCAACTTGTTTTAAGAGTCACTCCTTCTATTAAAATCAATGGAGTTTATTTTCTAGAAGCCATATATGATAAGGCTATGGTCCTTAAAGAGTTCAATTCAAAGTTTAGTTGAGGTTTTCACTTGGAATGAAAAGGCTGGAGATCTTAGAATAAGTCTTTAAGACATATAGGGAGAGGAACAATTTTGCCTTGCAATTTATGCAGGCACAAGGGCTGGCTGCTAGCATGAAACTATACTTAGGAAAAGCAGAAGAAAGAAAAAAAACTAGAGAGCTGATTTTTAAATTTTAAAATCCTAGGGCAATCAAGGTAACCCTCTCAGGTTAAACACAAGGAAGTCCTCCTTAGAATTCTGGGGCATCATTACATTGCCTGTCAACAACGATGGGAATGCATAAGGTGTACTCGTTGAATTTTTTTAAGACATGGCCATGGGCACCTATACTATTTGCTCCAGTAAGAAAGCAAACCACAGTTTATACTATGGCTGGAAACAGAATATTTCTCCAATCATTGTGCAGTCAGCCATCAAAAACCTTAGACACACTGCTTCTGCTACTAGGACTTGGTTTTTGAGGAGTATCACGATGGCTTTACTCGGCCCCCCACCAGCTCCTTTCCCAAATTCCATCCATAACTTCAGTCTTACCTTTACGATACCCTTCTTCTTATGATACTTCTCTCCAAGTTTTTTGGTTATAATTTTCACTATGATTTCCTAGGGGGAAAAAAAAAGATGGAAGGAACGATATAAATTACCTTTTCTCTTTTGATCCTACATTTTAAACCATTTCACCAAAAAATCATAGTAAAATGTTAACTGTTGTTTAAATAAGACCCTTTGGAGTTGGAAGCCTTCCTGGCACAATGGCAAGACATTTTCTTAGTAATCTTTCATTTCTTCTTTCTCTTTTTAACTCAACGCAGTTGGTTACAAAGAGGAAAAAATGCATATCTCATGGCTGATTTCCGCAGTGAAGGTTCCCTGAAATCTAGCCCTTCTACCTACCAGTCTCAACTAGTCTAGGTCTTTCACAGATAGCAAAACCAGAAAATAATTCTAGGCTTAAATTCAAAGGGTCCTTACAAAAATTTGGCATTAAGCTCAAGGAACATTACTGATTCAAGAACAGGAAGCCACCCTCCAACAAAGGTACAACCAGGACTTTACAGAGCAGATGCACAGAGGAGTCATTAAATATATCTCCAGAAGTGACAGATATTTAAGAAATTTAGCCATTTATATCAAAGACCATTTAAATCATCCACTTAAGAGCACTAGGCCCTGCGGTAAAGAATCCACCCACAATTCAGGAGACACAGGAGACGTGGGTTTGACCCCTGGGTCAGGAAGATCCCTTAGAGGAGGGCATGGCAACCCACTCCAGTATTCTTGCCTGGAGAATCCCATGGGCAGAGGAGCCTGGCAGGCTACCATCTGTGGGGTCGCAAAGAGTTGGACACAACTGTATCAACTTAGCACACACATAAAAGCACACTTAGATATAAGAAGGCCCAGTGGGATACGTACAGGCTGTAGCCAGTAATCTGTCCGTGCAGTTCTTTTCTTCTCCTCTTCAATCTGAAGGACACATGAGACATTCAAACAATTACCTCTTTAAAATAGTCAGTTTATTTCTAATAACATTCTATTTAGCAAAAGACCGCCATAAAATACACTTCACAGAAGATTGATATAATGTGCAAGCTCTGATAAACATTTTCTGCAATTTATTTTTGACTGAAAATAAGCAACTCTAAGAAAATAAGCAACAGGCAAATCAACTGATCAAGAAGATAAACACAAACAGCCTCTATCAAGTCAACTGCGAGGCTGCCGGCCAGCATCACACAGTCCCACCCCTCCTTCCTTCCCCAGACTGTCATCAGACGGCAAACAGGTGATGTTTTCAGGGGTAAAAATGTAACTCTTATGGACCAATCTAGCACAGTGCGCTTGGGTACAGTTTGATGGCAAAAAGGAGCTTCCCTGTTTGACAAGGATGATAAAGCTGTCGAATGAAGGAGAAGGAAACACAACCAGGAGACATGTGCACAGAAGGGTGACCAAAAGGAAACATGCTGACCACAGCAGAACTGCACCTCACACCCTTTCCTTTCTCAGCTGCTCAGTTAGACCCAAGTACCAACTTTCAAAGGGAATGAACAATGCCATTCTTTGGTTGATCTGAAATTTCATTTTAATTCCACCGACTTCCCAATATGAACAAAGAATACTCTATAAACTTGGCATGTTATATTCTAAGCAGGTAGATCCAGCTTTCTGCTTCACTTAATTAAATTCAAAATGGGCTCTAAGACTTCTGCAGGGCTGCCCCTGCTCTAACGTCATATGCCGCCACTCCAGTGTTCACTGGGCTCCAGCCATGTGGATCTTCCCTTCTGAGGCTGAAGTAGCAATCTTTCCCACCTCAGCTAGGGAACAAACTATCTCCCCACTCCCTGCCTTCAGATCTCCTTAGGGCTTTGCATTTTGTAATTACTCATCTACTGGTTCACTTGGTCTGGGATGTCTCCTTCGCTAGAGCAAAAGCTCCATGACACGCAGGGTCCATGTTTGTCTCCCTACTCCACACACGCAGGCCCTCGCGTGATGCCCGTCACATAATAGCAACTCCGTGTGGGCCGAACGCTAGAATGAACACGTCACAGTGTACACACAATATGTTATACTTTAAGCTGTTCTGACTGACCTGCATTTTCTGTTTTTCCAATAATAGGGAAGACCAAACAGTTTCCTCCTATCCCTTTGTAGATGAAGGAAAGGGTGAGGAGCCCAGAGGAAATGATGTTAAGAGGGAAAAAAGTCAGTCTCTTGTACCCATTTATTCTTTCTCTTCATAAATTATGTGAAAATTCATTGATAAGGGAAGGTGGCGGGGTGAAATGGAGAAATGTGTATTTAGGGATATATTAAGAACCTTCTGCAGAATGACTCCAGAATTTCAAGTAAATTTAAAGCAGAAGTATAGCTTTAAGTCAGATAATCACAGGTTTTCAATGATTCATCACATAAATTGACTATCTGGTTTAATCAAATTAAAAATATGTCTGAACATTCTCTTCTCAGCTAGGAGGCGTGAAGTGGAAGTTAAGAGGCCACAGAAGAGATCCTTGGAGGATGCCAATTTTCTAAGCCACCAAAAGGGTGTGCAGAGCTTTCATTTCTGGTGTCAATCACCACGATGGTCCTTCTAAACGAAATCTACTGACCACAATTTCAGGAAGAGTTCTGCAGACAGCAGTTGAGGCACCTGTCTAGGGAGGTTCCAGCTCGATTCAGATGGAACTGCATCTGGGCTCTTCGCCCCCAATCTGGCCTCAGCACATTTTCCTCTTTGTATTAATCTCATAATTGGTTAAACTGTTTAACTCTCCTCGGCTGGAATCACATGGTTCACTGAATAGCTAGAGTGGACACGCAGTTCATAAAGCTCACCTCCATGATTTCATCAAGGGCAGACTTCTTCTTCTTCTCCTTTGACGGAGCTGAGCTCTGGGAGGACTCCTTCCGCTTCACTGATGCTGTGGTCCCAATAGTTTTCAGGGCACTTGGTCCCAAAGAACTGAGGGGAAGAGGAGTGTGCTGTTAACAAAATCTGTGCAAAGGTGCAGGCTTTATAATGGGTGAAAGGAACAACGCAGAAGCAGCCTGTTAAACACGGTTAACTACAGATCAGTCAAAACAATGACGGGCACATCCCTCACTTACAGGACTGGGAGCACCCTGAGAACACGGGGCCCTTCCTGTCCCCGCCCCCAAGCCAGCGCCACTCTACCCGTGTGCCCGAGCCACGGACAACAGCATCAGCCTCAGCCTCAGGGCCAGGGCCACAAGGGTTTCTTTCTACTTCTGCTAGGACCCTGAGCAATCTTCCCTACGTCCCAGTTCCCCAGCTATAAACAGGGATTATAATGTGGCCCAACTCCAGTTGGACCACAAGGATCAACCAGGTGAGAGGTTTGTAAAACGGCCAGCAGAAGTCCAGCACACTGCTGTTGGTCCCACTTCTTTAAAACAAAGATTTCAACATTCAGCATGAAAGTGTTTATTACTCCTGATTGCCTGAAGCCTTCACAGCACACATTCTCAACTTCTGAGGGCGACTATACAACCGTCACCACTGGCCCCAGGATACTACCCCCGATTTACTCTGTGTACTTGTCATTCTGAACAATTTGCTATTGACTGAACCATGCCTGTGCTTCAAGCCTCTGTAATTCTGCACATTCCTCTTTGTACCTAAAATAGTCTTTCCATCTTCTCCACTTGTCAAAATTCTTTAAGATGCATTCTTTATGAGATTTCTTGGATTGTATCCTTTTTTGAACTGCCAGAGCACTCTGGGGCAGGCACCCCACTCCACCTCATATAAAGCCCTTTGTATATATGACTCCTCTCTCACAGGAGGGCAGAAACTACATATATCCATATATATATATATATATATATATATGTATATATACATATTTTTTTCTTTTCCCCCTGTAAAGTAGCAGTAACCATCTTGTGACCCAAATATATGCTCTATTAATATTTGCTGACTCATTGAACCTTACCAGTCTAATTAATTGTCAAATTTACAAAATATGAAACTGAGTTGTACTAAAGATGTTACTTTTTCTTAAAATTAAGCTGAATAATAAATAAACCTGGTTAAAAAATGGGCAATAAGTGATTCTCCAAAGATTATAAATGGCCAAAAAGCACATGAAAAGATCCTTACCATCACTAATAATTACGGAAATGCAAATCAAAACCAAAATGAAACACACTCATTAGACTGCTACTATTAAAAAAACACACAAAAATAACAAACATTTGCAAGGATGTGGAGAAACTGGAGCCTTCTGTGCAAATGCTGGAATGTAAAATGGTACAGCTGTTGTTGAAAACCTTTTAAAAATTAAATACAGAATGACCATATAATCCAGCAAATCCACTTCTGGATAAACACCCAAAGGAACTGAAAGCAGGAATGTGAACAGATATTTGTAAACCAATGTTCAGAAGAGCATTAATCACAAGAGCCAAAAGGTGAAAACAACTCAAACACTCACAATAGATGACTGGATAAACAAAACGTGGTCTATATGTACAAGGGGACATTACCATCGAGACTAAAGAAGAAAGAAATGCTGATTCATGCCTAGACACAGATACACCTTGAAGACGCTGTGCTAAGTGAAAGAAGCCAGACACAAACAGACAAATACTATGTGATTCTGCTCAGATTCATAAAGACAGACGAGCAGAACAGAAGCAACCAGGGAATGTAGGGAGGGGCAGTGGGGAGTTATCTTTTAGAGTGCAGAGTTTGTTTGGGGTGATGAAAAGTCATGCAGATGGATGGTGATGATGGTTGTACCACAGTGTGAATCTACTTAATGCCACTGAATTATATACCATTGTGATTAACTAAACAACAACAACAACAACAACAAACCCTCCCCCAAAACAAAAAATTGAGTTAGGTTAAATAAGCATTGGGCTTCCCTGGCGCTTCAGCTGGGAAAGAATCTGCCTGCAATGTGGGAAACCTGGATTCGACCCCTCGGTTGGGAAAATCCCCTGGAGAAGGAAATGGCAACCCACTGCAGTATTCTTGTCTGGAGAATCCCCATGGACAGAAGAGCCTGGGGACAACAGTCGATGGGGTCACAAAGAGTCAGACACGATTGACTAACTAAGCACAGCACAGAAATAAGCATCATGTAGACTATGAAGGAAAAGAGCAAATATGACCCAGCTCAAAAGATAAATTCCACCAGATACTGGTGTCCCCCTGAATACCCTATCGATCTTTATTTTTTTTTTTCCTATCCATCTTTAAACCTCCATGACTAAAACCTAGTGCACCACACATGACAAGTGGCACGTGCATCTGGTGGAAGAACACGAGGCCCTCGAGAAAAGAGAATACCAAGGGTGGATACAAATACCTGACTGTGGGCCATCCCACGGCTTGACACACTACAGCCTGAGGGCCAGACCCAGTCTACTGCCTGCTTTCGTAAATGAGATCGAACCGGCACATAGCCGGGCTCATTCGCTTACGTATTTTAAGTCTGTGGCTGCTTCCTCAGTCCGATAGCACAGTTAAGTGAAGTGGTGACAGACACATGGCCCACAAAGTCTAAAATACTCGCTATGTGGCCCTTTATAGAAAAGGCTGGTCAGCTCCTGCTCAGTACCGCACCCTTTAGAAGGGAAGGCAATTGCTACTGAGTGTCTACTAACACATTTATACTTTACCAGGTGCTAAGGAGATAGCTGGAGAAGGAAATGGCAACCCACTCCAGTACTCTTGCCTGGAAAATCCCATGGATGGAGGAGCCTGGTAGGCTACAGTCCATGGGGTCGCAAAGAATCAGACACGACTGAGTGACTTCGCTTCATTCACTTCATACTTTATCGCTGGAGAAGGAAATGGCAACCCACTCCAGTGTTTTTGCCTGGAGAATCCCATGGACAGAGGAGCACCTGGAGGGCCATGGTCCACAGGGTTGCAGGGAGACGAACACGACTGAAGTGACTGAGCACGCACGCAGCAAGGAGGTAGCTGAATAAGTCTCGTCTCTATTCTCAGAAAATCATACTACAGCAGGTAAGACAAAAAGTATATACCCCAGCGAACACAGTGGGCTATGACAGAAAAACAAACACTACTGCCATAGCACATGAAGAACCACTGAGTGGAGAAGGAGTCAGGGAGAAGTTAATGTTTACCATGTGAAGCATTTCAGTAAAAAATGAGCCTTTCCTCAAAAGACAGAATCAGCTCTTCACAGGCAAATGAGAAAAAACAGTTTCTAAGAAAAAAATCAATCAACCATTAAACAAAACAAAAAGAGATGAAAATGACAACTAGAAAAAATAACTCACAATCCTGCACCTTTTAAGACAGTCATCGACATTCCACCCAAACTTTCAAGTTCTAAGATACCTGTCCACGTGGCTCACCTTGATTTGGAAGATGCTGCTCCTGAACTACAGGCTCCTTTATTCAGATTAAATGTAACTGGAAGAAAAGAACTGGTATTCGATATATATTTGGGGAAAATTCTAGTAAAAACCAGGTAAATACCACAAAGAAGTCACACAGAAATTCATGGACATTTTGAATAAATGAGAGCTGGAATGCTCCTAGCCAGAGATCATAAACTCCTGTAAAATATAATGAAGTGGTGCTTACAGAGCAGGGAAAGACCTTCCCTGCATACAGCATGTGGCCTTGGCCCCTTCCCCACTCCGCCTCCCCTCTCCCCTTGGTAACAGGAATCCCATTTTGTTTGCGTGTCTGTAGGCCTCACACATAGCTTGGGGGATGCTATGGTCTGAAGGGGTGTGTCCCCTCCCAAATCCAAAGGTTGAAAACCTAACACCCAAGGGGACGGGACTAAGAGGTGGGACATGTGGGAGGGGATAAATACAGTTCTTTGGTCTAAACCAATCAAAATCATTCCATTTCCTTTCCCAGTGACTGATTTTGAGGTGGACACGAGATACAGTCTGGCCAACGACATACAAAAGGAAGTCTGCTGCTAGGAAGAAGGTCTTCTAGGAAAAGCTTACTTGCTCATAGGGGACTCCAGGAGAGAAACAGGCTCTCTGTTCTCCTCTGGACAGGCTGGGTCTGCATATGATGGCTGGAGTGCTGGCAGCCACCTTGTGTCCAGCTGCTGACAGTGTGACATCCGGAACCACCCTATCTCTGGGAGTCGGAGTCTTGGTATGGCAAAGGATTTCCTTACCGTTTAGGCTAATTTTACTCAGTCTGGTTATCTGTTGCTGAAGGCATTCCATCTAATTCACGGTTATCACCTTTTCATTTTACTAATGAGAATAAAGCAGTCCAGGTAGACAATATGTCTTGCTCCCAAACATGTTGCTAGTTTTTGGCAGGGGCAAGATAAAAGCATCCATTTTCAAACAGGAAGAAAAGTACCTTTTTCTTCGTCATTTTCTCTGCTTAATTCCGTAAAAACAGGGACTTCCTTAAAAAAAAAAAACAACGAAGAATTTGAAGGTTTGGCTCACAGTGCATTTACTAACACTACTCAATAGCCGTAAATTATAACTTGCTATCTACAACAGTTGAGGTACTACATAAGAGATTACATGTATTGTAAATATCTTCCAATAAGGACACTGTATGGGGGAGGGGCGAGGAGCTGGGAACAGCCTCATGCTTCTCAACAGGAGCGTGGGCAAACAAACTGTTACATTCATAACATGAACTGTTAAGCACCAGTCAAAAAGAGAAAGAAGCACTAACAGGAAAGGACACGGTGGACGACACACAGAATGTTATGCTGAGCTAAGAAAGCCGGACACAAAGAGAACATACCATCAATAAAAATAAATGAATGCATCAATACACAGATAAAAAAGACAACACACTGATGATTCCATTCCAGAGTTCAAAGACAGGTTAAACCAACCAACAATTAATAACAGTGTGTTGGAACAGTGCTTCCTTCTCTGGGGACAAGGGGTGCTGGTTAGGAATGGGCATGAGGGACCCTTCTAGGATACTGGAAATGCTTAATATTTCATCTGGGTGGTAGCCACATGGACTACCTACTTATCTATAGGTCGATCAACCCATCCATTCGTCTAAAGACACATACATAAGTAAAAGTTGATGGAAGTGTAACCTGAAGATTCACGCATGCCATACACTTCACATATGCTACATCACAAGAAGAAGCTTTTAACAATACTCAATGGCTAGTAGTTTCACATACACACTAGGCTACATTTTCCTGCTCTCACACATGTCTAGTACACAAGCGCCTTGAAGGCAGGGATTTTCATCTCCTCTCCACTACTGTATCCCCAGTGCCTGTAAGAATGCCTGGCACACAGACGGGACCAATAACTATCTGTGAAAATAAACGACTTGATCTAGTTATTCTAACACCTGAAACAATTTTATCATGCCTTCCCTCCCCTGTTCACCTGAGTTTGACCCAGTAATTCCTCAAGACTCCTCAGCCTGGGGGCTGTATCTACCTTTAAATATTCTTGCGTCGCCCCAGGCTGCAGCAAGTGCCAGCCCTCTGTGTTCCCACATACTGTGGTCTTCCCCAGCACTGCATTAGCTACAATTGGTTGAACTGACCTGTTCATGTCTTCAGCTTTAGGTGCTGACTCTATTTTAGGGGTGAGGAAACAGGTTTAGAAGATTACATTATTACATAAGCATGTGAAGTCAGGAAGTCAGGAAGTGACCCAGGTTTTTCTCCACTCCACAACCTGGGCTTTTATACCAGGCCACGTGCTTTATCCTACAAAATGCGGTTCAAGGCATAAACAAATAAGTGACTGCTTCTTCAGACCTTTGTCTACTGCATCTCCGGATGATGCCCACCTGCTCTTTCCCTTCCAGACCTCTTCTCACTTGTTCTTGAATAAATTTGGCGGTTTTTTCTTCATCATCCAGGTCCTGCTTCTTCTTTTTCTCTAGTTCCAGCTGCCGGCGGATTGTTTCAGGGTCCCTATCTATATACTGAATATACCAGCCTTTTGGTGTCTCATCCACTTTGCACAAACCTTAAAAAAAGTAACGGATACTCTTAATTTTGTACACAATCAAAGCTGAAAGAAAATATAAATGTGATCTGTCTGCAGTAATTACTCACTCATTCAAACATGTTCAAATACACAAATTCATACAGTATGTGAATTTTCCATATTTACAGTTACTGACATTTAGATTTTAATTGGAATACTTTCTAATATTTTTAAATAGAAAAAAATATTATTTTGGTTTCTGATTAGGTTGCGCCAACACATTTAAACAAGGGAAACATTAAAATTGATTATCCTGCTTAGTATTTATTCAACTGTGTCTAAGCATTTAACATCCACTGAGTACATGATATTCCTCCTGACTTCACTAGCAGAAAACTTCCCCAGAAAATGGAATAAAGAAACACACTAAATAAGTAATACAATGATAAAAAAAATGTCTTCCTCTTTTCTTTTCCTGAATGTTCTATCCTATTAGAAATGGGAAAAGAGGCAGCAAATTTAAAATTTGCCTCAACAAGAGTTTGTGAAAGTGAAATGAATGTGGGGGAAAAAACTGGAAGAGGACAGGTACTGATATTCAACCTAGCGAGTGGATGCTTCAGTGATAAATCTTGGCATGATCAAGAAAACAGCTCCAGACGCCCTTACACACCCGCAGCGCACAAAAGCAACCCTGGAGGAGGCACTCCTCTCCACTAGTTTCTAACTGCCCTACTCAACCTCTTTTCCGTAAATTTACACAGAAAGTGGACAGAGAAGTCTGGCGGGCTACCATCCACGGGGTCACAAAGGGTCAGATACAACTGAGCGCCTGGCACACAGAATACAGGACCATCTTCTCCCTGCCCACAATGCGGCCATGTAGCAACCGCTCACATCACCTCTTGTTCTCACCTTCTCTGCCCAGCCACTTGGTGAAATCCGTCAGTGTCTCCCACTGCGTGGCGTTCATGTGGATGTGCTCCCGGTGGCTGATGTACTCATTGTAAACAATGTTGTTGTGAACCCTCTTGGTGCCTGAGAACAAAATACAACAGGGCAGACCCTGAGCAGATTATAAGACTACAAAGTCACTGTGTGCACAAGACTTAAGGTGCTTACCAAAGCGTCTCCTGAGAAGTTCTAGGAAGTCATTTCGGAATTCCCTAATAAAGCAAGAAGGGAAAGCATTAAGGTAATTTCTACAAATATACAGCATCATCTTCCTGAAATAAAAGCCACCATACAGTTTGCATGAGCAAATGATATACGGAATATCTACGTGAACATCTGTTGTGAACCTTTAAACACTGAACAAGGGAAGAATCCTGAAAGATTATAGCTTTCAAGAATTCAAGTTAAAAGCTGGTTTGGCGCTGAAACTTTGTCTTGGAGAAGCAGGCACAAAGTGACCATGGGTCTCTGGAGAGGGTTCTTCATGAAGTTTCACTGCTTCATGAAGTCTCAGTGAATGTGTGTAGTAACCCCATTCTATCAATAACAAAACTGCCCTTTCCATGTGAAGTTGCCACTTAACGTGCCCCTCTGAGCTAAGCATAATGTTAAGCGCCGGACAAACAAGGTGAGCAAGATATAAATCCTCACTGAGGTCACAACCTAGCAGAACCATCATAACCACAACAGAAGTGAAACCGTTGCTTGGCTAAGCTAACCTGAAAAAGAGATGTAATAAGATATCACAGGGAGCCATGAGGGAGATGCCGGGAGGCAGAGGCAATCTTCAATCTGGGTGGTGAAGGACAAATAGAATTTTTACAGATGAAAAGGAAAAGGCGGCTGCTCCCAACCCCAACCAGCACAGAAACATGAAAGCATCACTTGGTATTAGAGAAATGACAGACAGGTAGACAACAGTTATTTCAAATGAAGTATTCAGTACATATTCTTCTCAAAAATAAACAAAATGAGCCTGTTACATCAAGGAAAACAAGTGACAATATTTGTTGCCAATATAAAATCTGAGCTTCCAAGTGAAAAGGGAAATTTTGGTAAGCTAGTATCCACCACCATGAATTTGACACATTTCCTAATACTTAAAGGTGTTTCTGACAGCACTGACTGGCATTAATGAGTATGATGTTATGACATTGCACAGTAGAATGTATCACTGTTCGGAATATCAGAATACCTGTGTATTGAAATAATAATAATAACAGCTAATATTAATCAAGTAATGGGCACTCTTTTAAACACTTTAAAAATATGAATTCATTTAATCTTCACATATGTGAGAACTGGACCATAAAGAAAGCTGAGCACTGAAGAATTAATTCTTTTGAAAAAGATTCTGATGCTGGGAAAGACTGAAGGCAGGAGGAGAAGGTGACACCAGAGGGTGAGATGGTTGGATGCCATCACCGACTCGATGGACATGAGTTTGAGCAAGCTTAGGGAGTTGGTGAAGGACAGGGAAGCTTGGCATGATGCAGTCCATGGGGTCGCAAAGAGTCGGACATGACTAAGCAACTGAACTGAACTGAATCTTCACATAAACCCTATGAAGGAAAGACAATACTTGAGAAGATACAATATCTACAGACAAACTCGGGAAGTTCAGCCAGTCACTCAGCTCCTGAGTGGAGCCAGGTCTGAAGGACTGAAAAGTCAGGCGGTCTGATTCCAGAGCTATGCTCTCAGCCACAGCTGTTTTAGAATGAAAGACAGTTTTTCATTATGTCTGATGTGGAAGGAAGGAAAGACTGAATCATGAGAAATCCTTTTTTTTCCTTAACAATTCCACACAATGATAAGTTGTCAAAAGAAGACAAAAATGGAGCATAGTTAATGCAGCTATCACATTAATTTGTAAGGAATAATCAGAGCCTCCAATATATAAAATATTAAGCATCTCTTTAATGTCCAACTGAATAAAGCTTATGAGATAAGGATGGTGTTGAGTTACTTACTCTGAAAAATAATCCATAAATTGCTGAGGATTTTCTGAAGCCAGCAACAGCTGTCTCTGATGAGATTCAGACATACAATGACACTTAAAGCCATTCTATAAAAATGCAAAGGCAGTAGTTAAATTCTGATTTAGGTCATTAAAAGTATTTAATTAAATTAATAATAATAATTTAATAAATAGAAAACAACAATTTAATAAGTAACATTAATAACACTTATTAACAAATTAATAAGCAATTAAATCATAAATAACTGCTCTTTGATGATAAATTATAAAAAATAATTAAGTCACCGGCTGTAGCACCCTGTCGTTTAAAAAAAAAAAAAAAACTTTATAAAGCTGAGTTTTGCAACCTTGCTAATCAAAGAAGAATCCCAGAAGACTAAAGAGAGAAAAATGGCACTTTAGAAAACAGACATTAGTAAGAAATATTACAGGGCACAGAAATGAAGAGTGATTTCATGTTTTGACTCTAACAAATTGCTACTGGGCACCTACTTCATACAAAGTGTTAAGCAAGCATTTCATGGCATATAATGAAGTAAAATAGGTCAGTAGTGAATTTCCATTAGGAAAAGTATTATATTGTCACTCACTTTCCTATACTTTACTCCTATACTTTAGCTCATTACCCAAAAGACACTATTTCCTTACATAATCTTTATCACACTAAATCTGTATATTCTTCAGATGATTTAAAAAAAAATACAAGTTTTGACTTTGCATCTATGCTGCTTAACATCTGAACCTAATTCTTCACTAGTAAGAGACATGAGAAAGTGCCTCTCCTCTGCCTCCCCACCTCGGGAACAGCGCCATCCTGACCTGCACCCAGTCCAGGACGCAGGATGGCCGAGCCCCAGAGGCCTCCACCTCCACAGCGCTGTGTCTGCTCAGCCCTCCTAAAGACTCAGCGGGTCCCTCTGCTCAACCCCCTTCCCACTGTCCTGAGTCCAACCTCAACCTTGCTTAGAGCAGCTTCCTAATCTTTTGTCATCCACACAAGCCTACACAATTTTTGCCAGGGCCCACTTTACCGAAACTACAAGGGTTAGAGAAAGAAGACAAAAGACAACCACAAGAAAACGTAATGGTTAAAACGGAATCCTCCAGATCACTACTGGCCTAGTCTCTTCAAGTCAATGTCAAGAAAAACAAATAGGGGGAAGGAAAGGTGCTATTTCTCAAATTTAAAATTGAAAGAGAATGAAAACTCCTAATATACCACACCACTGAGAATTTTAGGGCAGTGAAACTATTCTGTATGACACTATAATGGTGGATATTAGTCACTATACGTTTGTCCAAACCCACAGAATGCTCAACACCAAGAGTGAACTCTAATACAAAATATGCTCTTTGGTGCTAATGATGCACGAATCGCCTCACTGACTGTCACAGAAGTACTATTCTGTTGCACCATGCTGACGATCTGGAAGGCTATACGTATTGAGGGCAGGGTGGGTAAGAGAGATCTTTGTACCTTTCAAAAAATGTACTTCATTTTTGCTGTGAACCTGAAACTGCTCGAAAAATTAGTTTACTTCTTAAAAAAGTTCTAATAACTAAATCCAATGTATTGCTTTTGACTGGATCTTGGTTTGAAAAATAACTGGGGTTTTTTTTTTTGCTTTTATTTTTATTTTATTGAGGTATAGTTGATTTACAATGTGTTAATTTCCACTGTGTAGCAAAGTGATTCAGTTATACACACACTTACATTCTTTTCCATTATGGTTTATCACAGGACACTGAATACATTTCCTTATGCCAAAAAAAAAAAAAAAAAAAAAAACTAAACAGTTTTATACAGCATTCATGGGAATAATTGAGAAAGTGTGACTATGCAGTATATACCAGGTGATACGAAGAAATTATTTATTTGACTGCACTGAGTCTTAGAGTTGCAGCATAAGGGATCTATTTTTCTATGTGGCTCATGGAGTCTCTAATCACAGGCACATGGACTCCAGGGCTTGGGGGCTCAGTGATTGTGGTTCATGGCTTTAGCTGCTCCGTGGCATGTGGGATCTTAGTCCTCCAACCAGGGATTGAACCTGTGTCCCCTGCATTGAAAGGAGGATTCCCTACCACTGGGCTACCAAAGAAGTCTCGAAGAAATTTTTATTAATTTGGTTATGTGTCATGACATATATTGTGACTATGTAGAAAAATATCCTAATATTTTAGAGGAGCATATGTAAACATTTCTGGAGTTTAAATGGATAAGGCACAAACTGGAATCAAGACTGTTGGGAGAAATATCAATAACCTCAGATATGCAGATGACACCACCCTTATGCAGATGACATCACCCTTCTCAGAAAGCGAAGAACTAAAGAGCCCCTTGATGAAAGTGAAAGAGGACAGTGAAAAAGCTGACTTAAAAACTCAACATTCAAAAAACAAAGATTATGGTATCTGGTCCCATCACTTCATGGCAAATAGATGGGCAAACAATGGAAAAAGTGAGAGACTTTATTTTTCGGGGCTCTAAAATCACTGCAGATGGTGACTGTAGCCATGAAATTAAAAGATGCTTACTCCTTGGAAGAAAAGTTATGACCAACCTAGACAGCATATTAAAAAGCAGAGACATTTCTTTGCCAACAAAGGTCTGTCTAGACAAAGCTATTCTTTTTCCAGTAGTCGTGTATGGATGTGAGAGTTGGACTATAAAGAAAGCTGAGTGCCAAAGAACTGATGCTTTTGAACTGTGGTGTTGGAGAAGACTCCTGAGAGTCCCTTGGACTGCAAGGAGATCCAATCAGTCCATCCTAAAGGAAATCAGTTCGGAATATTCATCGGAAGAACTGATACTGAAGCTGAAACTCCAATACTTTGGTCACCTGATGCAAAGATCTGACTGGAAAAGACCCTGATGCTGGGAAAGATTGAAGGCAGGAGAAGGAGACAATAGAGGATGAGATGGTTGGATGGCATCACCGACTCAATGGACATGAGTTTAAGTAAACTCTGGGAGTTAGTGATGGACAGGGAGGACTGGTGTGCTGCAGTCCATGGGGCTGCAAAGAGATGGACATGACTAAGCAACTTAACTGAACTGATTTAAACATTTAGAAGTGAAATATCCTGATGTTTGTAATTTACTTTAAAATATCTCAGAGACAAGGACACAGCAAAATACTTAAAATGTTAAATCTGGGTAAAGGGTATATGGATTTCCCTGTACTAGTTTTCTGTGTGAGAATTTTACCGTGAGTAGTAGTAGAGAACTAAAGAGAAATGAAAGAGAAAAACTGTTATCAGTGTCATTCAACGTGAGTCCCACCTAAAGTATCTCATCCCTTACTTGCAGAAACACTGGATTACATTATTCCAAGTGTCCAGTGTTCTTCCTTTCTTACCCAATTCAACATCCAGAGAAAAATAGGATCCCGTCACTAGCCTGCTGTCAATTTTTCCAGGTGCTTTTATTATCCACCTAAATAATGGGAAAAAAGTGCTCCACAGCACAGTCTACAAAGCTTCTCAATATCTGCCCCTCAACCACTTTGCAAATAATTCACTCATTTAAAACTCAAACAGTCTCACAAGAACGGACAATTACTAGTCCATTTTCAAATATGTAAACAGGTGGAGAGAAAGCAAGTAACTTGTAAGAGAACATAGCTCCGCCTCCTGGTTCTGACTCCAGAGTCCACATCTCACCCGCAGAAAACATCCCAGACCTGGCACGTCGCAGGCGCTCGACAAAGGCTTGTAGGTGACTAGCTTGCAAGGGCTTAGTTCTGATCTGTACCCTGATTATGTCTCAGAGCCAAGCCAAGTCTGAGACGGGTGTTGTTATTCCAGGGCGTCCAGCGCCGCAAGGCTCATCCCGTTTCATGACAGCCTGACTGACGTCCTTTCTCGGGGTGGGGGGGGGGGTTGGAAAACCTTTTCATTCTTTATTCTTTTTGGGGTTATAACCTTTTCATTCTTTATTCCTTTTGGGGTGATTGGACTGGGGAGGAAGGAGGTGTCCAAAGCCGGCTTCCCCGCCAGGACGGGGGATTGAAGGGAAGGATAGCCCTACTGAGTGGAGTCCCCGGCTCACCCTGCGCAGCCCCCACGCCTGGGATCGGGAGACCCAGGCCGTCGCCGCGGCGTCGGGCACCTCAGCCTGCATCCCCAGTGGGGTCCCGCTGGAGAGGCGCGGGGGTGCGCGCGGGGCCACCCCGCGCCCGCTTACCTCGTCCCGGCACTGCTTCTGGCACATCTGGCAATACCAGCGCAGCTTCTGAAGCCCCTTAGACTTGATCCTGTTGGCGATAGCCTTCGGGGTGAGAAAATCTGACTTCCCCATCGCGGCCACTACAACAACCTTCTGGGGCCAGCGCCCAGACGACCGGAAGCGGAACAGGGCGAACGAGAGTGGGCGGGACAAATGCCACCAGCCAGTCGGAAGGAGGTGGGGCCTCGGGAAGCCGGGCCCTAAACGCTCGCGAGGCTTCCCTCGGTCCGGCGGGAAGAAGCGAGACTCAGGGAGACCGCGGGGTGGGCGGGACGCGTAACGCAGCTTCCGCGCACGCGCGGCGAGGCCTGTCTGACCGACCTTCAGCAGGGCCGGCGCCACCATGTTCTCTCGGGCGGGCGTCGCTGGCCTCTCGGCCTGGACTGTGCAGCCACAATGGTAATGGCAGGGCGCAGCGGGAACGAGAGGGTTGCGAGGGATGGGAGAGCGCGGGTAGGGCAAGCGAGTGGGGAGGCGAGTGGGACGGAACCAGGGTCTCAGGCCTGGACGGGCCCCGGTCCCGCGGAGACCCGGGCAGCCCGGCTGCAAGAATCGCTCGGAACCGAGAAGGGCGCGTGAGGGGCAGCGGAGACTGCGAGGTGGCGCCTCGTCTCCTGAGACGGGCCGGGGCGGGGTGAGGGCCGAGAGGACTGGTCATCAGGGACCTCGGGAGTGGACCTTGGGCCCAGTCAATTGCAGAGTGGCCTTGGATCCCCTCAGCGACTAATTAGCTGATTAGGAAGCCTCTGCTGCTCGCCAGGCGACGGGCCTCGGGCTGGGGAGGGCCCCAGGGAAGGTCCCGCGGAAGGTTAAGGTGTGCTTTTGTCCTTGACGCCGTTTGAAATCCTGCGGTGCAGAGGGCAGTGACTCCCAACCCGTGTTGAGCACCGATTCTGCAGCAGGCGCCTTGCTGGGCACTGGTGAATGAAATAAGTGCCCTCCTCGCCTTAAAAATATTAAGGCGAGGAAGGGAAAGATACCTTCACGATCTCGAAACCGTTGTGCCGAAACAGTAGCCCTGCAAGGTCATGACATCATCGTAAGGTCCCCAGGAGGAGGAGATAGACGGATTTGTAAGCGTCATCCGTTCATTGCTCTGCAAGTTTGGGGGATTTAAATAAACCTTGGTTTCTCCTCCACCACCAGAAAAAGACATGTTAGAAGGCCTGGCAATAGGCAGATAAACGTTGGTTTGAGGTGGTGCTCTGTAGTAGGATGAAATGTTTTGAAGCTAGGCAGTCTGGGAAGATTGCATATAGGGTGCTAAGGGGATTGTTAGCTGTCGGCTGTGTGTTTTAGCAATTACTTGGTTTTACAGTATAGGAGAATTCTAAGAACCACAGCACTAGATGTTTGTATCCTAATTTATGAGAAGGGGCGCTAATGCATTAATTAAAATAGGTATGTTTTCATTAAGCAAATAATTGATAACAGATTTTCAGGGTAATGAAGTAATTAAATTTGATATGAAAAACCTAGACACAGATGTTAGTGCGTTTGCTGTGGAAGTCAAATTTTCTTTGCCCTAGTGTTGAAGAGTATTCATGGGGGTTAAGGAGTCACCTTAGTTGGAGTCTCACTCATAGGTTGTCCCATTTCTTCATCACTCAGCACACGTTTGTTGGGTGCTTGCCCAGCACCAAGTTGACACTGGGCAAAGTGCTAAGATGTGGTGAAGAACAGACAGACATGGTTCAGATGAAGCTTGTAGGATCGTGTGTCTGACATGCAGCAGTGGTCTGCAAATGTCAACTCTACTTCCTTCCTTCCCATCTTGCTGTGCATGAATGTAACCTGTAAATATTTTTAGAACTTTAAGTCAGCCAAGCTGATCTTTTAAAAATGGACAGTTTCTGAAATGAGTACAAAATATTTTACCTTTAACTGTACAAAATCACAAGAGAAGGCAGTGGCAACCCACTCCAGTACTCTTGCCTGGAGAATCCCAGGGACAGCGGAGCCTGGTGGGCTGCCGTCTGTGGGGTCACACAGAGTCGGACACGACTGAAGCGACTTAGCAGCAGCAGCAGTACAAAATCACTTTTTAAAAACCTGTAAGGTCACTTGAGGATCCTTTAGTAAAGGATCATTTGAGTGTGCTCTCTGAGATGGAGAAGGAAATGGCAACCCACTCCAGTTCTCTTGCCTGGAAGACCCCATGGACCTAGGGGCCGCAGAGTCAGATAGGACTGAGCGACTTCACTTTCACTTTCTGTCTAAGATAACTACTGTGGGGGGCAGGGAGCTTAAACTGGAACCTCAATCAGCAAATACATGTGTAAGTCCTGACCTTCATCAAATTGGTAGGTTGTGAATATTCATCAGATATCAGTGTTCCACCTTGGAGAGCAGACTCTGTCCTCTTCGTTTTTTTGGTTGGACATATTCCATCACTCTGGGTGCCTGGTGTCTGTTTTGCTCCTTCCATTTCTTAGTCACTGTAATCACCTTTTGAATTCAGCAATTAAAGCCATCTTAATGTTTCATACTCCACAGAATTTTAATTGCTTAGGGTGTCAGTAAAATACCAGCTAAATTTTTGAAAATTAAATCTTTTTTTAAAAGCTCATTTAAGAAAATGGAAATAAGAAATTTGGTGGGGAGGGAGTTTCTGATTTTTCTGTGTCAGAGGGAAAATACGTTTCTATTTCTCAGTGTTCCACATTCTCTAAGATGAAACTATTTTATAATAGGAAACCAATGGCCATAAGTGGAAATGTAAATGTTGAAAAGGAAGGGAGAAGGCGTTTCAGGGGAGAGAAGGCAGGCCTTCATCTGAAACTGAGATAGCAGATATTTACTTTTAAATGTAAAAAGCATGAGGAAGCAGTGTGTAGTGTACCAGATGGAGTGGTGCCAAACTGCCCGGGTTTGAATCTTGACTACCCTCAGGTTTGAATCCTGACTACCTCGCTGTGTGGCCTTGTGCAGGTTACTCAATGTCTCTACCATTTCCTTGTCTGTTAAATGGGGGTAATGTAGTGCCCCATTAATTGGACTGGTGTGAGGATTAAATGAGTCAGTATTTGTAAAGAAGTGAGGGGAGAGGGAGAAATGCTTCTGGGGACCCAGATGTATCCACTGAAAAATGAAAATGAATTTATACATACATGTTCTATCTATATAAACTAATGTGAGAAGGTAGAAGCCTAACAAGGATGGATCGTGGATGGTAGTAAAGTTCTGGAAGTCATTTGGTGGAGAGCCAGGGGTTGGACTTTAACCCCAGCACTCAGTATTCAAATTGCAGATACTTCATAATTTGTTAGTCAGCATTATACGCTCCTTAAAACTCTTCCAAGCTGTCTGCAGTGAATCTTGCAGACCCCATCCTTTACTGACTGGCTCCTTCAGTTTTTCTCACACTGCTGTGTGATCACAGGAGATCATGGCAGTCCCCCGTTTGCTGGTGCAATTTGCCCTCCATTGTACCGGATAAGTTTCCGGTCTCTTGGATAATCTCCCGACGATTTCTCAGGACACGAGACAATTTTCTGGGACACACAGCTGATTCAGAACTTCCTTTATCTTTTCGTTTGCAAAAACTATATTCAGCGGAGCAAGCTCTCCCTAAAGAGAGCTCAGATCAGCTCTTTTTATTTTGTTTCTCTATATAATTTTTTTGGGGCGGGGGGGCATCAACCATCATGTCTGTGGATAGTTCCAAATCTGTCTCTAATCTCAAAATATCTCATATTTTCCCCAGATCTGGAGCACATTTCCAGCTGGTCCTGTAGTATTTTGTGCAATATTGCATTCAAAACTCATTATCACAAATGAGAATCCCCCCTACCTAGCTTTTCTGTTTTGGTTAAATGACAACACTGTCCACTCAGGTCATTAAATTAGAAACCTTTGGGTCAGTTTGTTCTCAGATCTAGTCTCCCATTGCTTTGCCAACCTCTCGGTCCAGGTTCTTGCCTTCTTGTGTCTGGAAACTGCAAGCAGCTGCCTCTGTGGCCTCTGTGTCATCAAGATTCAATATCATTTTGTGCTTTTCATTGCCATCTGAGGTATTTACTGAAAAACTAAAGTTTCATCATTTCCCCACTACCTATAAAATAGTATTTAAACGTACTAACCCAAGCCGTGTCTCCAGTTTCAAAACTGGAGTTCCTTGGAATGCCCTAAGGCCTTCCTTTATGCACAATGTATAGATTCCTCAGTTCTCCCTTGGTGCTTTCCAGGCCAACAGGTGCTTGATGGATTGAAGAGCTGAAAGATGATGTATGTTCGATAACATGTTGTCTTTACCAGTAAGGGGAAGATCCTCTCATATTTAACTGTTACTATTTTTGACTTTTATGTGTTAGTGCTTTAAAGACTAGAAAAATATTTAATGTAAAATTTATATCAGTCTTAAAGTTTGCATGAATCTTGTTTATGAGATAATAGTGTGCTTCTTTGTGATCAGAGACCCAAGTCGGGGAGCAGAGTATCTGCTCCATAAAAGCTCACTGGATTGAGTTGGAACAGTTAAGAATTGGTTTAAATTCTACTTTGACATATGTGGTCATGTTACAATGTATGATGACCCTAAAGTGTTTTGTTATTTATTGGTGAAATGAGGAAGTCAGGAACTTGCTTGGGAACTGAGCAGTGCTTTTTAGAAGTGGTTCACCTTGAGTTTAAGTATAACTGGATAGCCTGACAAGGGGAAGGCCTTGTCTGTCATGGAAACAATATAGGCTAAGACATAGAGTCGGAAATAGAGCCTGTGTGAATGCCATGTGACCCCAGTGGAAGCTAGGTTAGGGCAACTAGAATGAGACCTTTGAAACAGGGCTTGGTATCCTTATTAGGGGGTTTATATATATCCGTATATATTCAGAATCTTATATTTGATAGATTATTTCTTTATGGGCCACTCTGTAAGTCCTTATATTAACTTTGGAAGTTTATGGAGCTTTTTTCCCAAAAAATGGAGCTTTTTCCCAAAAAACTAAAAAAAATTTTTTGCCATCTTTATTTTCAGGATCCAAGTTCGAAACATGGCAACTTTGAAAGATAGTAAGTACTTTATCTCAATATGTGAATTAAGAAAAGCTAAATTTTGCCAAATAAAAATACTTTTGAAAGTGTGCTCTTTAGTCCATTTACATAATTGGTTAAAATGGACAATAAATCTATGTCTTGTGTCTGTGGCTTTGAAAAAAACCACTGTGAGGTGACACATGGTGGTTGTGCTTGTGTTGTCTATAGAATGATGATAATTAGAAAACACTATACTCTGTGTGGTATGTAAAATGTTACGGAACTTGTTTTTGGTTGAAAGCCATTTTCAATACCATTTAATGTTTTACATGCATAATTTACTGTTACATTGCTGTTTTTGCTTGCTGTCCAGATAGCGCAAGGTGTGACTTTCTGGTACTCTATTATTAATTCTAATATTAAGCCTAGTTTGGCAGATGGTCTAACTGCTAGTTATTCTCCCTTGCAGTTTAGGAAAATATTTCCATAAATTCACAAATGAAATCATAACTCCTTTATCTTAACACAGCACTTCTGATTTTCAGTTACCAGGCGACTAAAATCAATCAAAAACATCCAGAAGATTACCAAGTCTATGAAAATGGTAGCAGCAGCGAAATACGCCCGAGCTGAGAGGGAGCTGAAACCAGCCCGAGTGTATGGAGTGGGGTCCTTGGGTAAGAGGGGCGTGCAGTCAGATTACAAAACCTTTTAAGCTAGAGATCGCTGTCCTGAGTACTTACAGCACTCATCTGTCATGGCAGCCCTGTGCAGGCGGGCACTGTTGGAGTCCCCGCTTTGCAGAGGAGAAAACCCCAGCCCAGTACAGTCATAGCTACCTGCATGCTTGGCATCCGAGCTGTCTCTGTGTTCATCACCGTATGTGTTCACCTCCCTTTTAAAGTACTCTGAGAGAGTGTTCCTAGATTATTAAATATGCCATCAGAAGAACACGGGGTTTAGTGCATCAGACTCATGCTTGATTTTATCCTGTTACAGTGTTTTAGGACTGCAGGGTAGAGTGGGGGTACCCTGCAGTGGCATTTGACTGAGCAGTCATAGGTATGACTGAGTACATGGACAGAGTGTTGAAAGATCAGCTATAAAGGAGGAAAAAAGATATATCTGTATTATCTGTGTGTTATACAGATAATTAATAATATACAGATTAATTAATCTATGTTAGATAGAAATTACTTTCTGCAGTAGTTTTCTTGTGTTCATATTTCTTGAGCATGCACTCATACCGCTAATGAAAATTTTGTATGAGAAAATGATAGCGCACCATGCTTCAGTTGAAAAAAGACTCCTTGGTTTGAAAATGCCATGTTGGGACCTCCCTGGCAGTCCGGTGGTTAAGACTTCACCTCTGTGCAAGGGGTGCATGTTCAACCCCTGGTCAGGGAGCTTAAATCCCACATGCCCCATGGCCAAGAAACCAAAACACTGGACAGAAACAATATTGTAACAAAATCAATGAAGACTTTTTAAAAAATAAAAATACTGTATTTAGTTTCACTTAGCATGTAAAGCAGAGACTTGTTCCATTAGGTTTTAGCCATCTTTAACACCACCAGCTGTTTGCTCTTACGAGTCCTGTTCTCTTCTGGGCTTAATGAAGAAATTGACTTGGATATCTGATTAGAATATTTGTGGTAAAATATTAAAAATTCAAGTCATGGCTGCCAGCCAACTTCTAAGTCCTTCAAACTGAAAAAATACTAACTGCTGGATATTAAATGGCTAATCTTTAAAATACTTAAGAACTTTAAATAGGAATTTTATTTTTATGCTGTACAATATAAAACATAAAAAGAAACTTAAAAGGAATATTCTCTTCACTTCCCTGAACTTTGGAGTTAAGTATGTACCTCTCTGCCTTTCATGGAGGGTTCTCAGGTATTGAAATTTGAGAGTCCCTGCTCTAACTGAAGAAGGGTAATAGGAATTTCATTGAGGTGGGGGAATGTGGCAGCCACGAGGATGCAGTTTGCAACTAGAGAGCACAGCTGCTAAAACCATGCTGTGTTTGCATGCGAGACATGCTTCCCACGAGCTCCTCCTGACAGGTGGGGTGCTCAGGCTGTGTGTTCTGTGGAGACATGGGGCTCCTGGCAGCCTCGCCGAGCTTTCCCTCAACTGCTCTGTAGGCCAGGAAGCTGCCGCCGCACCTTTCTTCCCACTGGTCAGACAGGCATCGTGGTGTGACGGCGCTTCTGACCTGCTTCCTGTGCCTTCTCTCAGGCATTTTCCCAGTAAAATCCATGTGTATTCAACCCTGCTTGAATCCCTCTTGGCTTCTGCCGCTTTGAAGACCAGGCCAACAGAGTGAGACTCGTAAAAGGAACACCCAGAATAAAATGGCCTCCATTATTTTAGTGTCAGTAGTTTTCATAAAAGCTTGCTGTGCAGATTATATGAACAGTTCAGTAAATATTTACTTTCTGCTTTCTTGGTTGTACTCTGAAGATTTTAATTATTTAAAAATTCGGTAAGTCTAGATAAGTTGTCACTTCTCTTAAGTCTGGCCTCTTTACAAGCTCTTTGATTGTACTAGTGATTTCTTTTAGTCAGTCCTTAAGATAACTTGGTGTTTAGGGACCTCTTAACAGAGATTTAGACCTTTATGGTTTTCAGCCTCTTTGTAAATAAGTGCAAATACTCGATAAGTTAAGGCATCATTTTGTAAATTAGGGGTTATTGCTGTATTTAGTGTAATTACACCTTTTTTTTTTTTAGCTCTTTATGAAAAGGCTGATATTAAGACTCCTGAAGACAAGAAGAAGCACGTCATTATCGGTGTGTCCTCAGACCGAGGGCTCTGCGGTGCCATTCACTCCTCGGTTGCTAAACAGATAAAAAGTGAGGCGGCCAACCTTGCAGCAGCCGGGAAAGAAGTTAAGATTATTGGAGTTGGTGATAAAATCAGGAGTATACTTCACAGGTAGTATAAATATATACTGTTTATGTAGAACGCTGCAGGTGTGAGTAAAGGGCAGTTTCTTTGATAGTTTATTTAAGTAAGGTGTCTTTTTGGTTGCCATTTTATACACACGGAGAAACTTTGTTTTGTTTGGAGTTTTGTTCCAAGATATCTTAGAATGTGTAGATTTTACTTGTCATTTACTTCTTCTTCCAAACCATAAATGGAATACAATAGGAGTGTCAGAAGCTAAGGGCTTTTTTTTTTTTTAATTAATGAGGACTCTGAGGAGTTGTCACGGCCTGGAAATGCCAGAGATGAATAACAGTTAGTTAGAACTGGCAGGAGAGGAGTAAAAGGCAGAGAGAGATGTAAGGCGAGAAAGGCTGATTGTGAGTCCTCAGTTCTAGGCAGGCGCTGAAGGACGGGTGACCATAATAAGGTAGGGGGCACCTCAGTTCCGTGAACACCGCAGTCTCCGCTCAGAAAGCACTTGATTCATAGAGTATTTCTGCCCTGTCCCCTGTGCCGTCACATGTGCTCTCTTCGTTTTCCCACAGGACTCATTCTGACCAGTTTCTGGTGACGTTCAAAGAAGTGGGGAGGAGGCCCCCTACCTTTGGGGATGCCTCGGTCATTGCCCTCGAGCTGTTAAATTCGGGATATGAATTTGATGAAGGGTCTGTCATCTTTAACCGATTCAGGCAAGAGAGCCGTCGCAGTCCAAGCTTTTTCATCTTCAGGCTTCTTTCAATTGAGCAAATGTCTCCTTAACGGTGTGCAGTTGTAACCTTGGAATTCACGTTCGCTCTTGCCACTTCTAGGTCTGTCATCTCCTACAAGACAGAGGAAAAGCCCATCTTTTCCCTTGACACCATTTCAGGTGCTGGTAAGTATATTTTGTATGATGAGTATTTTTCCTATGAAACGAGAGATTTACACATTGAGTAAAACAGTATTTGTCAGGGTGGCTTTTTTTCAGCAGTAGCAAAAATGTTGAGCTGTTTCTATCACCATTTATTAGCAGCTTCCATGAAACCATAAAACATTCATTGTATAAATAAATACCCATTGGGGGCCAACCTTATATATGAAAGTCATCATTCCTTGGTGAAGCATTCTGGAAATAATACTCAGGAACCAATTTCATTTTCTCCTCCTACATATATTTCTTCTATTCTAAGAGGTACACTTTTTTTAATGTCTAAAATTGAGGTGCTTCTACCAGTCAGTAGCACATCATTTTTAATTGGCTGTGTTACTTTATTTGTTCATGGTATATAAAATAGGAGTTACGCAATCCTCTGCATCTTAAGTCAGTGAAATGCAGCCCTGTCTCACTTTATACCCTAATGAAGACTTTTTGAATGTGCTGCTAAATTTCTGCTAATTGCTGAAATGCAAAGCAGCCTCTGACTCTTTGACTTGTATTCTCAGTAAAACTTGCCCTCCCTCATTGTCCTGACACTTCCAGATTTCTCCAATAACCACATGGTTGAGTTGGGATTTTTATATCACACTATACAAGTCTCATTTCTTTCCTTAATTTCTTTATTGAAAAACACGGTCCCTGACTGTCCGATAACTTAGTCCAGGGCACTCTGCTAGATGTTCTCCAGAGGCCTTATACCTGTGAAATGTAGAGCTGTTACTTTAAATGTCAGCCTCTTGGGTTTTATGAAGTTAAGCATTTGAAGTAGAATACCAGGTGCTTTGTTTACACAGTATGTTTTACTGAAAATCTGCTATAATCTATAGTATGAAAATAGATGAAGCTTTTAGAACTATGTCTTTTAACCAGTCTCATATTGACTTCTCTGTGATTATAAAGCACTTTTGCACCAGGAAGCTTCTTGATTAAATCAGTCTTTGCATTTCAGAGAGCATGAGTATCTACGATGACATTGATGCTGATGTGCTGCGGAATTACCAGGAATACAGCCTGGCCAACATCATCTACTACTCCCTGAAGGAATCCACCACGAGTGAGCAGAGCGCCAGGATGACGGCCATGGACAACGCCAGCAAGAATGCGTGTAAGCGCCAGCACAGCCCTCAGGCCGTTCCTTTGCTGAGGCTGCACGGAGGCCCTCGCTCATGTCAGAGGCTGGTACCAATTCTGGAGGAGGAGCAGGAGAGCTGGGGTCTGGTCCTGGGCTCTGCCACTGATCTGTGAGGATAGAAAAATTACATTTTTCACCTTAAAGGAAGTAACATCTTACTTGGTAGGAAGTAAGTGTGCAAGTACTTTAATTCTTGGAAGATACCAAAAAAATATATCTCCCTAACATTTTTCAGGAGGCCAGTTATAGTACCTCAGAGGAGACAGAATCTTATTTTTGAATTAAACAACTTACATCTCATGAATGACTTAGTGAGCAAGGTATTATTTTCTGGTTTTAGATCTTGTTGTCTAATCTTCTGTTTTGTTTGTAGCTGAAATGATTGACAAATTGACTTTGACATTCAATCGCACCCGCCAAGCTGTCATCACCAAGGAGCTGATAGAAATCATCTCTGGTGCTGCGGCTCTGTAAGTAACTTGAGTGTTGCCTTCAGCATTCTTGTCTCATAGTGCCTGCTCGTTTAACCTTGGCATGTTTATGTCCCCTTCTCCCCTCCCATTTTTTGGTCTGTTACAGAAAAAAAATGATCCATTGCTTAATCTTGTTTCCTTAATCTTAGAATATAAAGATTTGATGAAAATGAGATCTCTAGAGTATTTTTTATTGTTTTAGCTGAAACATTCAGGCTTAGTTTATGAGTTACTGGTTTTCGGTTTATTTTATATAAATCTGTAAATTATTGAATGGTGGTAGGGTCAGGAAGTTTTTAACTTAAGTTTTCTGTATCAGTACTATCCTTTGATAGTTCTTAAAATACCGCTTTCCTCAAGAAAATGTCTTAGATTTTTAGCTCAGGTTGTTTAGCTAGATATGTTAATGTTTGTAACCACGGTCACAGTAGTGGGAAATCTATAAAAAATGATTACATTGAACACCCATTACATGCCTCATACAGTGCTAAAGGATGGAATCCTTTGTCCCAAGGCGTTTACATCCTAATAGGATAAGAAAACATGTAGACAATTGTGCCGAAAGATAAAACGTGTAGTAAGTTATCTTTGACTCATTCTCTATCCTCCTGCTAGTTGGTCACCGGGTTCTCTAAATCTTACTCTCTTCTAAATGTCCCTTGACTTGCTCCCCTTTATGCCCTCTGAATGCATCTTTGTCAGTTCTCTCCCAAATTAGAAAATATATTTTTTAAGTGGCACATGCTTTTTTCTGAAATGTCATTTTTTCCCCTGCACCCTTAATTCTCCACCTGACTAACTTCTCTCTGTCCTTCATGACGAAGCTGGGGGACTCCTTTCCTCCAGAAGACCCTCATTTGTGGTGTGAGTGGGGCTATTTCCTGTGATTCCCTCCATCACAGTGCTTATACCATCTTACTAGGAACTGCCTTTAGGTTTGTCTGTGTCTTGTGGCTTGAGAGGGGCCGTGTCTCATTCACTTTAGTAGCTTCATCACCTGGCATGCACTTCCTCAGTAAATATTTGTGGAGTGAATGGATGATGTGCCATGAGTGTATTAAGAACTGGAATTTTAGAAGAGACAGAAATAACACTTTGCTGAATATATGAACATGTGGGTCCAGGGTTAAGACTCGGGGACAGGTTCATCAGTAAGGTGACATAGGAGTTGGTCCTTTCCATCTCTGGAGGATGGAAACGGGCGGGATCCCAGAGACACACGTACACTGGCTGAGACCGTTCTGTCAGTGTTGGATCCACCAGCTCAGCTGTCCTAAACAGTCTTCCTTCGCTTGTTTTTGCTTTCAAGCCTGCATCTAAGCCATCTGTCCTTCTGGTCACTGCTGCCCTGTTAACATCAGCGTCCAGGCACTGATGAGTGGTCCTGCCACTTACCAGCTTGATGGACGTGGTTAACATGCTCTCCCTGTGATACAGTTGTTGTCTGTGACATGGGGGGGGGTTAACCAGGTGTGTTTTTCACGTCCTCCTTGCTGTACATTCTACCGCTTTTCCAGTGGCAAGTGTGCCGAGGCCTGGGGAAAGAACTGCACTCTGAAGGTCTGGGGGCTGTGAGATGCAGAGCACCAGGGGAAAGAAGAATGGATGCTCAGAATAAATGTAGGCTACAGCCTCTGCAGCGTAGAGGACCCGGCTCTTGATTAGGAATGTGGGGACCTGACTCAAAGCAGCAAATGCAGAGAAATGAGGAGGAGATTGGGACATGGAGACTGAGAATTTTAATTAAAACAGTTCAAATAACTGGAAATTGACTATTCAATTTTCACTTTCTAGAAAGGCAGGCTAAATCCTTTATTAAAGGTTAGCTGTGCTAACCTTAATAATCCTCATGATGGATTATTTATATGAAATGAACTTGCATGCTCTGTAACCTATCAGCTCTTCTGCTTGAAGACTAGTATTTAATACAAACATATTTGGCTGTTTGGTATTAAAAGGCATGAGTAAACCGTATTTGAGGTGCCAAGTGTTAGCTGCTAGCTTAAAAAAATTTTTTTTATACTATGTATAGAAAAGTTGTGGTTTAAAGTATGCTTTCATAGTCCTGCCTACTTGCATGAACATGGTTTTATTATTTTAACCAGATTCAGGTCTGTAATGTTTCCTAACAATTAGTGACTGTTTCAAGTATTGGTAAGTATTTATGTGATATACTCAAGGTAGTGAATGAGGAAATGGGCTTTTCTAGTTGGAAATTGTACATGATTAACCAGCATGGATTGCTTCCTGACCTGCTTGTTTTCTGTTTGTGTTTTTCTTCTAATATAATAACCCAGGGACTAATGAAAATCAAGTTTCATCCTCAGACAAGAGGTAAAGTGGTAATATTTCACACCCTCCCCCCATCCCATCAGAAAAGAAACCCAGTCAGAGAGAGTTGAGACTAATTCCGCAACAGGGAAACTGATTTCTTGGGAGATGAGACTGGCCGGCCATTAGTGCATCAGTCAACTTGTGGGAGCACGTGGCTGATGCTAGGGGTCTTTTGTTTTTTTTTTTTTCCTTCCTAAATAAACTACAAGGATAAAGAATCAGCATTCCTTTGCAGTACTAAAAACAGGCTGGTGAAGAACAGTGGTTCTCAGACTTCCTGGTCTCAGAACCCCTTGATGTCTGACTCCACAGAAGACCGCTCAGTTCTCTCCATTTCTGCATTCATTCTGTTCTGACATTGCACGTCATGTGGGTTCTGGAAAACTGCACCGTGTACTCTTGAGAATGAGAATAAAACAGGCAAGCAGCATTGTCATAGAAATTAGTTTTGCCCTCACAGACCCCATGAAAGGGTCCCTAGACCAAAACTTGAGAACCACTAGTGTAGAGTAACAGTTTATTATGTAGAGTCAGTTCTTCAAGTCCCACTTTAGATACATATTATCTCTTGACATGTTCAGTTTCCACACACACAAAATATTGTTTGATTTTTATTTGTTGTATACTTTTATTTTTCAGGTAAAGAAGAATTCAGCAAGCTGATTTTGTTTTTAGCTTACTGCTGTCCTTGTCAGAAGAATTTGTTGGTCCATTGTTCAGATTACTAAAGACAGCAAGATATTTGTAAATTATCTTACAATAAATGACTCAACATAAAATCACTGTTGCTTTTTTATTACTATATAAGAAAAACCATTTTCAAAGTGAGATCTTAAAACACTTCAAAATATTAATATACTTGTATTAAAATTTCTAAGTAAGAAGCTAGTTGAAGAGGCTCTTACGATTGTTTGGTTTCCTAACAGCCATGGAAAGCCTGGCTTCCGAGGAGTCAGAGTGGGAGGAGGAGGTGCCAGCCACACCCCCAGCCCGGGCCTCCCTGCCTGTCACCCCCAGAGACCACCAGCCCTTGAACCACCAGCGCGAGGAGCAGCGCCGTGTCCGAGAGGGCGGACGGTTCCAGGACATACTGACTAAGTAACTGTTTAAATCTTTACCAAGGACTGAGAAACACTTCGGCAGGGTCCTCACTTCACATTCCCACTGAGATAGCCATTAACTTTGGGCACCTGAGCTATTCTACAGAATGAGCTGGCCCTGCCAAAATGTTGGGATTTTTTTTTTTTTTTCTATTTAAGAGGATTTATGGCTACAGTCCATGGGGTTGCAGAGTCAGACATGACTGAGCGACTAACACTTTAACTTTTTTAGGGGTTTTTTATTGCAAAAGTAATATAGGAATTACAAAAGATAACTATTAAAAAAATACATAAAGCCCATCGTCAATACTTTAATGTATATTACTTTTAAAACCATTAAGAAGAAGGTTGCCAGAGGAAGATAAACTGAACAGAATCTCAGTGTCATTTTCTAGCTTCCCTGAAATGTTTTAAGAGCCATTTTAATTTCTGAGTTTTTGTGACACTTGTTTTCCTCTGAAAATCTGTGTTGCTCTGAAATGTTGCCATGATGATTGTTAATAAGTATCTTTGGGCAAGTCTCTGCACATTTGGATGAATACTTTCGGGCACTTAATTGGAAGTGGGATCAATGACTCAGACTGTGTATTGGGTTGGCCAAAAAAGTTCATTTGGGTTTTTCCATAAGCTCTTAACACGGAGCATAATAAACTTTGGGGCCAATTGGGTTAGAATCCTAGTTCAGCCCTTACCAGCTGTGTGACCTTGGGTGAGTTAATCTTTCAGTTTTATCATCTGTAAAATGATTAAAATAGGACTTAGCTCATAGGGTTGTTATAAGGACTACATGAATCAATATTGGCAAAATAGAATCTGACATGGGATGAGTGCTGTAGCTGTTTAAATGTTACCTGATACACTTAAGTGATCATCGTGTTTACTGATGTTCTGTGTGTTGGCACTCTTAAATTCTGAAGATACACTCTATAGGAGCTTACAGTCTGGAGCAAAGACAGATAATGGGAAAAAAAAGGGGGTTTTGGGTATAGTCAAAGTGTTTGTCGCCCAGTCCTGTCCAACTCTTGGTGACCCCATGGACTGTAGCCTGCCAGGCTCCTCTGTCCATGGAATTCTCTGGGCAAGAATACTGGAATGGGTTGCCATTCCCTTCTCCAGGGGATCTTCCTGACCTGGGGATCAAACCCACGTCTTCTGCATCGCAGGTAGATTCTTTATCATCTGAGGCATCAGGTAAAAAAATCCCCCAATGAGGACTTCCTTGATGACCCAGAGGTTAAGACTACATGGTTCCACTGCAGGGGACCAGGGTTCCACCTCTGGTTGGGAAACTAAGATCCCACGTGTCCCGTGGCGCCCCCCACCCAAAAGACTTGACAATCAGGCTTTATTAAAATTATCAAAATACTGAGAACATTTGCAATACAAATAAAATTTGAATATAGTGTGTATTTTTTTAAACATCCACAAATCAGGCAAAACCCATGTTTTAAAAAATGAGTTGGAAAAAGCTCATTTTAAAATAGATGAATTTCCAGGGAATCATGGTGCGGATTCTGAAAGATTATATACTATATGATTCCATGTATATTTAGAAATGGAGAATAGTAGTTGTCAGAGATTAGAGATGGCATAATAGGAAGGCTGGGATGGGTATTAAAGGGCAGTGAGGAAGATCCTTGTATTAGACAAAATACTAGGACATCCTATAAAGATAACTGTCCTGGACTTTGCAAAAAAAGTAGATGTCATGAAAGACCAAACAAAAAACCAACAAGCAAAAGACATAACTGGTGGGATTGGCCTTACCAAGAGAGCAAAACAAATTTGGTGGTGGTCCAGTGGTTAGGACCCCAGTGGCTTTCACTGCCTTGGAACTGGGTTCAATCCCAGTTGGGACTGCCTGACCTGTAAGCTGCTTGACATGACAGAAAAAAACTAAGTGCAATGAATGATTCTTGAATAGACCAGAGATTAAAGAGAAAAAAAAGCTATAAAAGACATTTAGGAACAATGATAAAATTTGAGTATGCATTTCACATTGGGTCAGGTTACTATATCAATCTTGTGTTTGTTGTATGTGATAGCTGGATGGTGGGGTAATGGAAGTTGAGATAGATACACGTCAAGAATCCCCCCTTCAGCTGGACTGAAGGAAGTATTCCCTTAGCTTCGGAGAATTCAGGCAGCACACAGCCCTCAGCTGTCAAACCTCAGTGGAACTGCCTCGGCTGGAGACAACCTTGCCCATGGTCATGGCCCCACTCCTGGGCAGCCCACACCCATGGCCTGATCACCGTGGGAGTAAAGCCATGCCCTCTTGCCTGAGCTCAGGACGGTTTTAAAGCTCTCTGTGGGGTTTGCTGAGGTCCTTCCTGAGGATGGGCTGCAGCTCGGCATCCCCCTCCCCAGCTGGACTCCTTCCCTTCATCCAGGCAGTGAGCTCAACAGCACCCTAAGCTAGTCTCCATCTCAGACCCTGCTTCTGAGATCTGTCTCAGAACACACCTCGGGGGTGGGGCGGGCCTGACTTGGGACTGTGCTCACAGGAGGGGTTTGAGGGAGCAGATACTAGGACAGGACTTGGGAGCTGGCTCAGCCCTCAGCCACCACAAAGACTGCTTTGGGAGTGGGAGATGGAACACAAAGAGCCCCAGGCCTGAGGCGGATCCCGAACGTGCAGGTTGGTACAACCCCCACGCTGGTTCCCTGGCTTCTGGGTAAGAACTATGGCAGTGGGAAGGCGGAGGACAAATTTTTCAGACTGGTAAAACTGACGTAACAGGGCTTCCCTGATAGCTCAGCTGGTAAAGAATCTGCCTGCAGTGCAGGAGACTCCAATTTGATTCCTGGGTTGAGAAGATCCACTGGAGAAGGGAAAGGCTACCCACTCCAGTATTCTGGCCTGGAGAATTCCATGGACTGTATAGTCTGTGGGGTTGCAAGGAGTCGGACATGACTGAGCGACTTTCACTTCTATTGGGGGTCGGGGGAGGCAGAAGTTCGTGGTACACTTAAAGACTTAAAGAAGTTGGTGTGTGTGCACACTCAGTCGTCAGTAGCTCAGTTGCATCCAACTGCCATCCCTTGGACAGTAGCCGGCCAGGCTCCTCCGCCCGTTGCATTTCCTAGGCAAGAATACAGAAGTGGGTTACCATTTCCTTCTCCAGGAAGGAAATTCAATCGCAACCCAGGGATTGAATCTGTGTCCCTTGCGTCTTCTGTATCGGCAGGTGGGTTCTTTATCACTGAGCCCTGGGAAGCCGAGGGGTTGGGGGAGGGGCAAAATAGGGGAAAGGGATTCATGGGGACAAACTGCCAACTATGAAGTGAAACACAAAGATGTAATACAAAGCACAGAGAATGCAGTCAATATTTTACAATAACTGATGCCCAACATGATGGTGTTGTAAGGTGGGGACTTTGGGAAGGTCAGGAGAGTGAAGCCCTCATTAATGAGATTAATGCTGTAATAAAAGAGATCTAACAGAGCTCCCCAGCTCCTCCTACCTTGTGAGGATACAACCTGAGAATTCTGTGCCCCAGGAGAGGGCCCTCACCTGGTCAGGTGCTCCCTGATCTCAGACTTCCACCCTCCAGAACTGTGAGAAATAATGTTTGTTGATAAGTGACCCAGTCTGAATTACGGCAGCCAGAAGGGGCGAATGCTGTACAGACTATCTTACTCCACCTGCCCACTCCCCTGAAGGCTTCCATTTCCCTGGAATTGTCCCATATCACATGCTCTCCTCAGGTAATCATTTGCCAAAATGGGAATATAAAGGTCCAGTCCCTTTGTTCCAACTCAGGACAGAGGCAAAGGGTCAATCCCAAGTTAGACTTCCTTATGGGATTGCCCGAGGTCCTTCTGAAAAGTGCATTGGAAACCCCTTTCCTTGAACACAGGTAGACCCTAGGGTCACTCCATAAGCCTGCAGGTCAATCTCCACCCCAGAACTGGAGAACTGAATCCATGACACGGTTATAGGGCGGAGTGTCCGTCTCTGGGGAGATACATGCTGGAGTATTTCCGGGTTAAATGTCAAGATGTTTGCAATTTATTTTCAAACTATTCTGGAAAAAAAAAAGAGCTCTATATGTGTGCATGTATGGATATATATAGTAAATGTGGCAAAATATTTACAATTGGTGAATCTAGGTGATGTGTGTACCTGTGTTTGTACTTCTGTTTCAGTGTTTCTGTAGGTTTGAAAATCTCCAAAATAAAAGATTAAGGGGTTAAAACACACAGAGAGGCGATATAAGAGATGTAAAAGGAATTTCCAGAAGTATTAAAGGAACAGAAGAGAGTAGGGTGTCATCAGATCGAAGAGTTTCAAAATTAAGATAGTGTTCAACATTATCAAATGGCTACAAAATGGTCAAGCAAGGATAGGATTGAAAAGTGTCCCAGAGATTTAGCATCCAGAAGGTCCTTGATAATCTTGGGGACAGAACTGTCGGTGGAGAAAAATAAAGGCACCCTGCCGCCTACTATATTGCTCCTTGTCTGCAGGTTGTCATTTAGCTGCAGTATCATATTTTCCATCCTGTTGGTTTTCTGGGACTTCAAAAAAATTGAATATTATGTTCAAAGTTCTGGAATGGTCCCTATAAGGAGAAGGTCATGGAGCAACTCACAATTTATTGGAGAGGCACATGAACTCAAATACTAAATGTACTGTGGTAGGTGCAAGAACAGAGGAACACAGCCTAGAGAGGAGGGGAGGGGAGGAAGAACACTCCAGAAGCTTTTACAAGAAAAACGAAAAAATGGGTAAAGACTGAGTAGGTGAGTCAGTACAGCCTGGCTTCCCATAGGTTGAATCTAGCTTAAATGTGGGATTAGTCTGGCTTGCGAATGTATTCCCAGGACTCCGGTGGTGGCATGTACAGTGAATAATAATTTGCCTGCCAATGCAGGGGACAGGGGTTTGATCCCTGGTTCGGGAAGATTCCAGATGCCAAAAAGCAACTGAGCCCATGAGCCCCAAGTACTGAGCCCACTCTCTAGAGCCCTAGAGTCACAACTCCTGAAGCCCGGGCACCTAGAGCCTGTGCTCCACAACAGGAGAAGCCACCCCAACGAGAAGCCCACACGTCACAATCAGGACACAGCTCAGCCAAATAAATGAAAAGAATAAAAGATTTTTAAAAATGTATTCTCAATAGTTAAAAATATTGATCGAGCTGCTGCTGCTGCTAAGTCACTTCAGTCGTGTCCAACTCTGTGTGACCCCATCCCTGGGATTCTCCAGGCAAGAACACTTGAGTGGGTTGCCATTTCCTTCTCCAATGCATAAAAGTGAAAAGTCAAAGTGAAGCCGCTCAGTCGTGTCCGACTCTTCGCGACCTCATGGACTGCAGCCCACCAGACTCCTCCATCCATGGGATTTTCCAGGCAACAGTACTGGAGCCGGGTGCCATTGCCTTCTCCACTGATCGAGCTACTGATCACAAAACCCTGATTTCCTGCAGCTCCTTAAGATCTGGTAGCCCTTACCTGGAGCGGAGAGAGAATTTAGGGCAGGCAATAGTTCTTCATACAGCCAGCTTGATTTAAGGACTTTGACCTCCGTAGTCAACTGAGTCCTCTCTTCCTTTGACAGATTCTAGACGCTGGTGAAGGGCACACTGGCAAACTCTCGCCCACCAGCATGCCACCCGTTTTTGTAAATAAAATTTTATTGGAACCAGGGCTGCGATTAGAAAGATGTGACCCGAGACAGGAAAGGGGCAGGGTAGTAGCTCGGATTTTTAAATAACTGTGTTAAAATACCAGTAATTTTCATTACATTTTCTGCTGGCCGCTTAAATTGTATCCGGTGGTCGGTGCCACACAGGCCACACCTTACACCCCGCCCTATTGGAAAGAGCTTCGAATGACATGATTAACAACTTGGACCTGATTTAATCAATACAACGGTAAACAGATTTTTTTTTTTTTTTAACAGAGGCGGGATTAGATCCGCGACTGGAAGTTTCCACGTCCCTAAATCCCACCCTTGCCCTCACAGCCTCTTGGGTTCTCACTTCTCTCTAACACCCACATCCTGGCTCATTCTTCGGCCCCTGAACCGCTGACGGTCCCCTCCCGGGTCCCCTCCCGGGTCCCCTCCGAGCGAGTACCCCGAGGAGGCCCCAGGCACCTGCCTCCCCTGGCCCATCCTTCACCTGCGCCCCGTACCGCGGCTTCCTGCATCCTTCCAGGCCGGAGAGTCAACACCGGGACCATCGCTCTGCTACAACGGGGCGGAGCTTCCACATCGGCCCGCTCAGCACTCGGCTAGTGCTGCCTCGCCCCGGCGACCATCCAGCGGGAGGCGGAGCGAGTCCAAAATGGCGGCTCTCAGGCTGGCGCGCTCCGTGCTGCTGAGGCTTTGAGGTGGTCGCCGGGGGTCGGGGGGGGGACGATTTCCCCGCCGCGGAGGCCCTGGAGGATGAATCGGGGGCCCTGCTAAGGCTAGGCGGCGGAGGTGGAGAGAAGTGGCGGCACGGACTGCGGTGGAGTCCACGGAGCGGGATGTGCGAGAGTTACTCCAGGTCGTTGTTGAGGGTCTCGGTGGCGCAGATCTGCCAGGCGCTGGGCTGGGACTCGGTGCAACTGAGCGCCTGCCACCTTCTCACTGACGTGCTGCAGCGCTACCTGCAGCAGCTGGGACGGGGCTGCCACCGGTACTCGGAGCTGTGTGAGTACCGGGCTGGGTACGGGAGGCTGTCTGGCCGGTCACGAGTGACACCTCCGCGCTCCCCTGTGCTCTCCCGGCGTCCGGGAGGTGTTGGTCCTTCGCTCTCACCCCGCGATCGGGTGTCTTCTCGGCCCCTGACGCTCCTTCGCTCCCACTGCCCCTGGAAACTCGAGTCATCCCTCTGCTGCCTCTTCGCCTGCCGCTAACTTATTCCGCGTGCAGCAGGAGCCGGGTCCCCGCTCCCAGCTCTACACCCTCTGCCCTCCTCTCTGATCTGATCATCGGCCTTAATCATCGTCTCCTTTGGCAGCGTGCAGAACCCCCTCCAAAACGCCTCACAGCCTCTGTTAGTTTGGTCCTTTCCCTCCCCTTGCCCGCAAACTACTACAACTAGTTGTCACAGGCGCTCCGTCTACCGGCCGTTTCTTACAAGCCTGGCCGTTCTTCAGCTCCTGACAACACAGACTCGTTGACAGCTCTGCTCCGTTAGGGACACTGCCTCTTCTTTCTGTTTCTGTTCGTTTCACGGACAGCATCTCTGCCAACTTGGTCAGTTTCACTTATGTTCACTTTCACCTATATCTCAATTGATTTCCTCCTCTGTATTTTTATGTCAGTGGTTATCAAGAGTGTGGTAGAGAGATCATAGGCAGTTTACAAGGTTCCCCAGGTAGTCTGGGCTACAGCAGATGGTTTTTAAGTGAATATCTGGTAGTATCTGTTCTTTCGTGGCTCAGTCGTGTCTGACTCTGTTGCGACTCCCTGGGTTGCATCCCACCCAACTCCCCTGTCCATGGGGTTTCCCAGGCAAGAAGACTGAAGTGGTTTGCCATTTCCTTCTCCAGGGGATCTTCCCCGGCCCAGTGACCAAACTGGCAGTCTCCTGCCTTAGCTGGCTGATTGTTTACCATGGGGCTACCAAGGAAGCCCCAGGAGTATCTATAGCTGATGGCATTTATGAAGTTGGGGTGCAAAACATCATCTCATTTATGGGAAGTCTGTGCGTGGAGAGGGAACTGACACTCATTGATGTTTCAGGGCCTTATTTTCAGGTGGTAAGCTGGAGAACTGGGTAAAATGTTTCACTGAACATTTTGTTTTGTTAAGGTGGTTACTCTGAAAAATTGACACCCATGGATACACTTTACTTCTTAGGTCCCAAGTTCCATTCCAACTTCCATAGTGCTATCAGAATAACCTGTTAGTCACTCCATAACACAACTCTGATTGTGTCATTCTTAAAAATATTCCATTTAGTTACAGGCTAGAAATCTAAGCTCTCTAGCAGCACATGCTTTCCTTTGTGAGCTCACATTTTCTTATCGTCTGCTGTACTGTCATCCTCAGTCTGCAGCCATGCTACTTGCCTTTCCTGAAAACTTTAAGCCCACCATTCCTGCCTGCGTGCTGTTTCCTAGTGTGTCTTTTGCCCCCAGAAGTATGACTTCTGTTTTGAGATTCACTTAACATTTGCTTTAGGAAACTCATCATATCTCTTCTTATAATTCTGTGCATATTTCTGCCATGTTAACTGAACATCTTGTTTGTTTTTTAAATATATTTATTTATCTGGCTGTGCTGAGTCTTAGTGGTGGCACGCGGGATCTTGGATCTTCATTGAGGCTTTTGGGACCTAGTTCCCTAATCAAGGATGGAACCTGGGCCCCCTGCATTAGGAGCTCAGAGTCTTAGTCACTGGACCACCAGGGAAGCCCCTGAATACCTTGTTTTGTAATCATCTGTGTATGTCTCTCACCCTCTTCTCTTCCCTCCCCAGGAGACAAATTTATTATATTTGTATTCAGTAACCTAGTACAATGCCATAATATAATAGGCAGCCAGGAGATACTTGTTGAATAAATATCTGAACTGATAAGCCACTACCATAATAACTATTTAGTCGTTTAATATTTTGAGTATTAAAAATGTGTATTTTTGGACCGCTTGTTTTCACAGCTGTGTCAAATCTGAACTTGAAGCTGCCGAGTGGCTCTCATTCACTGTTGTCTTGCACGTGCACTGCCGCACACTGCTCTCTGCTTTTGCTTCATTTTCCTCCCTCCTCCCTTCCTGGCCCTTGAGTGAGTTTACTGGTACGGTATGCGTGGTCCCGGTTATATTTTTTGCTCCCAAATTCCCTAAATGAGGACGGATGTTCTGTTCCTTTAGGTCAAAATATCCCCAGAATACATAGTTACCTTTCCTGATTCACACAGAAGCAGATAGGTGCTGGCACTGCAAGCAACCAGGTATTCTGGAGTCATCGGGTGAGCCTTGTTTTGCCTTCATGTGAACCTTGTTGATAATTACCCAGTCTCTGTAATGATTGTCTATACTTCTAGTGAGAATAGGATGATCAGGTTCATTACTCCCCATTGTGATTTGGTGACTTTTCAAAAATGCTACTTCCTGGTATACTTAACTGGTTTACAGGCTTTTTTAGGTTCCTTTTTCTCCACTATTCTTATTTCAAACTGGAATTCTGTAACGTCAGGTCCCCACTATGCAATCTTGTCTTCTGTTTTTCTTTATTTCTTTTGTCTTTCTGACACAACGTTTATTGAGCACCACTTATGTATGTGCTACCTGATGGAGACGTGGGATTACTTAGGCATAATCCCTGCCCATAAGCTGTGTACAAGGGTGTCGAAATGTCAGTAAAAACAAAATGATGGTATTTGTTCCTTTTAAAAAAGATAGTCGTTCAGAAAGGAAGTATTGGAAGTTACTATTAATTCAACAAATAGTACATTTAAAAATTTCCCAACGGTTTACCAAAGCACTCAGGAGCAGAAGTTTCCGCATGCACTCTATTATACATTAAACAATGTGTGTGTACACTGGAAGTAGTGCACGGTATCGGCAGTAACCGCAGGAGAAAGAGAGAGACGGAGAGACGCATGCGCACTCTGGGTTCCAGGGCCGGCTTCACAGAGAAGACGAGATTTAAGTTGAGGCGTGACGCACAGTGGTGCGAGGTGGGGAGCACGCCAGGTAGAAGAAAAGCATAACCTGAGATAACCAAGTGGGATTCAGTGAGGCGGCCAGCTTGGCATATGTAACCAGTTCATTTAGAAGGTGCTAGGGAAAAGTGTTAGATGGAGAAAAATCAGGTGAGGGAGGGACTTCACAGATAGAGGCAGGAGACACTGCACACTTCGGTGCAGGGGGTAGGGTGCCGCAAGTGATGCTTGAAGACAGTTGCGCTGTCGGTGAAATGCACTAGAGATGCACTGGGGAGGGCTTGGAGCTGTGCTGAGACTGGGAGAGTGGGAACCGAGCGAAAGGAGAAGTGCTGAAAGCCGGGGCCAACAAGGATGGTGCAGGGGGAAGGACTGGAAGGTCTTGGGCTGAAACTGCACAAATGTGGAGGAATTCAAGAGGATCCCATTTTTTTAGAGTGAGAAAAGAATAGTGCTTTTAATGAGGATCTAAGAGTTGAAAATGCCTGCCTGTCGTTAAGGGGAAGAACAGGTATTCATTTTATGTACTCGCTCTTTCTTATACATCATAGAAGTAACCTATACTTGTATAGGAATTCAGAGTACAAAATTCTTGAAGTTAGATGTGAGTCTCATGCCTCACTTCTTCCCTTCCCCTGTCTGCTGCTTTCAGCCCCGTAAACTGTTAAAGTTAAATGTGTATCTTTGCAGAAGTTTTCTGAATGAGTGTTAGCAAGCATGTGTCGTTTTTGCAAACTGTGTATTATTCTTTTCTATTTTACATCATGATTTAGTTTCAGGCAAACTGAATTTGATATGATTATAGGAGATTACAGTAAAAAAAAAAAGAACGAAAGAAATAGGCTATCGGAAATCTGGAACTGGAATTTTCATAGAAGTTTTAAAAGATGTAGAGACCTTAAGTTCTGCTAAGGGCAGGCAGAGAAGGAACTTCCTTTTCTAAAGAATCTCACTGTATATAATGCTTTATCATTTTATCTCTACCCATTTTATATAGTATCTTCTAAATACATTTAAAATGTATATTTAAATTGCCTGTATGATCTAAGTCCTGTCAACACATTTTCTTAGATTTAAAAAAATTTGATTCAGTGGTATAATTCATTGATCACATGTTTACGGAGTGCCAGCTGTATGCCAACCACTGTTGTATTTTCCAGCATTGTATCAGTAACAGAGAGAAAATGGAATGGACATTTACCTAGCTCAGCATTCTACGTATTTGATAAAAAAATAATAATAATAAACATTTACTTTGTGTCAGCCACTTTACAGGTGCCGTTGACCATCCTTGAGTTACTATTGACATTAGTTTTGTACTGGCTGGTTGTTAGTGTGAATTGTCTGTGGTGTTCTGGCTGGTCATCAGATTGTATTTAAATCGACTTTCAGAGTCAGCTTTCTAATATTTAAACAGTACGACGTTCTGTTGAAACTCTATTCAACTCTTTCCAATAACTGAGTCCTAACTATATACTATATTTGTTTCTGAGTTGCATATTTACCTAATACTTTTTCTCTTAATGCTTTCAAAGATATTAATGGAATTTTCTTAAAATAATTTGCTCTGCTTTTGATTTTGTTTCAGATGGCCGGACAGACCCAATTTTGGATGATGTTGGTGAAGCTTTCCAACTCATGGGGGTTAGTCTTCACGAACTAGAAGACTACATCCACAATATTGAACCCGTCACTTTTCCACATCAGATCCCTTCGTTTCCTGTTAGCAAGAACAACGTTCTTCAGTTTCCTCAACCCGGCAGTAAAGATGCTGAGGAAAGAAAAGAGTACATCCCCGATTACATGCCACCAATTGTGTCTTCTCAAGAAGGTTTGTGGGAGTTTTTGTTTCTTGCTCATGTATTTGTAACTTATTTAATGGGTTTTTAATCTGCTTAGGTTTTCTAACTGAATTTAGAAAATGTTATGCTAACATAAATTCTGGAAATGCAATAAAAATATTTTAATATTACTTACAAATTGTTCTAACCTTTAAGGCAACAAACTTGCAGCCAGCCTCAGCAGGCAGAGCCCTGGAATCATCAAGGCATTAATTTCCTTTGTAAATTTTAAGTAGGGGAGAACCGAAGGTGACTTCAGAGAGAAACCTGTCAGGAGACATAGTAAATGAGAATGGGATATTCATTAAATGAGAATGGGATATTCAGTAAATGAGAAAGGCTTTGAAGCATAAAATTGGGGTGGTTCTCCCCATTTACTGTAGATGTGAGTTGGATGATACTGAAAACAGTGGGTGAACATTCACTAATATTATGTAGATTTATCTGTATCTTTATGATGAGTAGAAATATTTATATTTGGTCATACAGAATTTTTATTGCAAAAATAATACCTTCTCAGGCATAGTCAGTCCTTGAAGAGTTCCTTTTTTCCTGCATGATTTTACATGTTCATCTTTTAGGTTCACTAAGATTCTAAAGAAATACATATGTAATTTGTGGTCTCTAATGCAGGTACAGAACATTTTTTGTTAAAAAACAGAGAAGTTACAATATTTTTCTTTTTTAAAATTCTAAAACTGTAGATGTGTTTTAGGATAATGCAAATAATGGCAGAAATAGCTTTATAACTTTTTTATTACTGTGCAGTTCAGTGGCTTTAAGTGCATTGACACTGTTATGCCACCAGCACCCCTGTTCATCTGCAGAACATTTTCGTCTCTAACTCTGTAACCATTGAACAATAACTGCTCATTGCCCCCTCCCCCCATCCCCTGGCAGCCATCATTCTATTTTCTGTTACAAATTTGACTGCTTTGGGTATTTCATAGAAGTGGAATTTTACTTATCTTTTATCTGGCTTTCTTCAGTTGGCATAATGTCTTCAAGATTCATCCATGTTGTAGCAGGTGTCAAACTTTCCCTCCTTTTAAAGGCTGAGCTATACCTCATGCATATTAAGCCACATTTTGTTTTCCATCCATTTTTTGATGGCTACTTGGGTTGTTTCTTCTGCTTTCTGGCTCTTGTGGATAGTACTGCTGTGAATGTTGCAAACACTTGATGCCCTGCTTTTCAGTTCTTTGGGATCTATACTCAGAAGAGGAGTTGCTGGATTGTATGGTAATTCTGTATTGTTTGAGGAACAGTTTAGACATGGAAAACTGTCGTAGCTGTCTGGTTTGGGTCCCTTGGAAAAAGATGCTACTTGACAGCTTAGCACTTTTCTACTTAAAAGTTCTTAGAGGTTTAATCCTGACTGAAGGCAGCAGTCAGTTTCACCAGTAAATGTGATACAAAGAAAGCATGCCTTCAGTAGGTGTTCTTGAATCGAGTTTAATTAAACGTTGCTTGTAGGGTCTTGCCTATAGAAGTTCCTTGTTTCTCCTTCTTTCCTGACTAATGGTACATTAACAGCACGGCTTGGAAGTCTTCACACTTGGATATCAGTCATTCCCAGTGTTCCTCAGTAGCTGCTAGAATCTGTCTCCTCCCCACCTTTTTTGGAAGTCTTCACACTTGGATATCAGTCATTCCCAGTGTTCCTCAGTAGCTGCTAGAATCTGTCTCCTCCCCACCTTTGAATTTATTTGTATTTGTAACCTTTATTACCTTGGAGGAAGTCTTACTGTTTGTAACCCCTTGTATAAAGGCATTCTGTTTAAACCCCTCATTCCCTAATGTCTGTGTTCTTGATCTTAGAAACTTATATTTGTTACAGCTTCTCTAAGCATATATTTACTTTAATAACAAATGAATTTCAACATTAACATCATCAAAGGAGGGTTTCTTGGACTGAGACCTGGTACTAACTGTGTTGAAAAGAACTCCTCTTCATGAAAGTAGCATTAAGTTAGCCTGTGATGTGTCCTCTTGTACTGTAAGAATAGCCTTTGTATGGCTCTGAAATTTTTTTTAGATGAAATGCCACTTAGAAGTATACAAGTACCTTTAAAATGCTATTTAGAAGTACACAAAATTTTAAATTGTGCTAAGAAAACATGAATGGTCATCAAATGCTGGGAGAGAAGGTAAGGCATTACGTAGGAGGAAACTGAAGGAAAGACACTGTTGTAAGTAACTGGCACATTAGTGATTCTCAGAGTGATATTTGTATCATTTCAGCGAGTTAGACCCTGGTAAAGTGTAACAGCAAGACTATGTGCATTATCAATTGGCATGTGTTTGAGCTGGAACTACTGTCTTCTCCATATGAAGAGTTACATAGTCCACTTTCTCTGTGTACTTTGGAGCTTTCTAAATCTGTTTTGTAGTTTTCATATCATTTTGCCTCCCATTCAACCTCCTGTTTAGTAGTTAGATTGTGTAAATTTTTTTCTGTTTTTTTTTTTTTTGATTTGAATTCAAGTTCAATTAATCTCACTTCCTGGTTCACACACAGGTTCCTCTCTGGTCATTGCATGGCCTGCATTTATTAATTTAGAGAGTTAATTATTTTTAATATTTAAACCCTGATGAGCGTACTACTCAGAACCAAAGCTAGGACTTTGATTATAGTCTATGCTTACCTTCTTGTTTCGTTTTTATGGCACGCAAATTATACACAATGAAATTCTCTCAAAGTGATATGGTTATCATGTTTAAATACTGCCAAGGAAATGTAGCTAAGATAGCAGATTTGTACTGGGTAGTGAAGGAGAGTGAAAAATGATTCAGTGATTTTAGCTACTGACTGCTCTCTGAAATTACGATAGTAAATTTTTGAATTTCTCTTCTGGGTTATTTGAAGCAAAAGAAGAATCTTATGTTATTTGAAGTTTCTGCAATAGAAATTATAAACATTCTAGGAGGAAAATAATGTAAGCCTTGACCACTTCTTTTTCCAGCTAACACCTGTCGATTTTCTAAGGAGCAGAAATATTGCTGATTCATATGATGTGCATATTGTTCATAAGGATATAGTAATGATAGGCAGTACAATAAGATGCTTATTGAAACCTTTTATTCAGGGAAAAGAGCATAAAATATAGTCCTGTGGTTACCTGGTTTTTAATACAGCCACACAAGTCAACTTAGTAAGTCACTTACAACCTGAAGTCTTTTTCCCACTGGCACAGCACATTAGAAGGTATCTGGTATCCTGGTTAGTGGTGCGCAGTGTGGTGCAGATGTGAACAACTTTGATAGTAACAGCTGTTCACCAAGTTTTTTGTTTTATTTTCCTAAGAGCCACAGGCATGATCAGACTTTGGTCATAAAATCTTACTAGCAAAGTTCTGTCATGGGGCTACCCTTTTCTCAATCTTCCAACTTGGTTTATGTCGAAAGAAGCGTGTGGGGACTCCCGTCTGGTGGTCCAGTGGTTAAGACTTTGCCTTCCAATGCAGGGGGTGTGGGTTCGGTCCCTTGTTGGAGAACTGTAGAAGCGCAGCCTGGGCTTCATGGAGCCATTCAGATGTGACTCAGTTAGTTACTGAGTTCACAGTCTCACGAAGTCACTTTACCTTTCCCAGTGGCATTTCCATCGTCTGTCAGGCAGGTATATAATACCTGCCACGAGAGAGATGGTAGGACTGAGGGAGAGCTTCTGTGAGACATTTATACAAAATAGGACAGTGCTTAACACATAATAACGCATGTTGGTCCCCTTCCCATCGTGCAGCTTCACTCTTGAGGAATTTCCTTTTCCCTTGAAGGACAACATACATTCGAGGAAGTGATTCAACAATAAGAATAAATCTAAACCAGTGTTAATCACACGCAAACTTAATAGCTGGGCTGGAGTGTGTGCTTGATGGAGGAGCTCTCTCTGACTGTCAGCTGTGTGAAGATGGGGTGGGAGAAGATGAGAGGTGGTTTCCTACCTGTTATAACCGACTGTGTGTTTACCAGTGGAACCTCTCTGAAAGGATATTATAAATGCATATCTTGCGTAGACTGTTACAGTTCTGATGGCCAGTACCCAGTGTGTTTAAGGCAAGAACACTACCCACCCGCCAGCCCGCCATATGTATTTTCAGATTCACACCAGTAACATATTTTTCTTTCCTGTTTTGTTGTACCAAGGAATGTGTGAAAAATAGTATTCTCTTCCAGAGTCATTGTTCGGTTCTCAAAAGTATGATCAGTAGATCACTGGTATTCTAGGTGATCTGCTGATTGGTCCATAATATTTGAGAAGGAAAAAAGAAATAGAAACCATTTACTCTGCTTTACTTATTGCAAGAAACTTAGCAACCTAGCAAACTTGGTCAAGATACTGTGATGTTGCTACTTTTAGGGTTTTATAAAATAAGTTAACTTTCTTTGAATAGATTTAGATTTATAGGAAAATCCCATACCCAGTTTCATGTAATATTAATATATTACTATGGGATGTTTGTTATGGTTAATGAACCAACGTTGATACATTATTATTATGCATTATTTATGTCCATTATCTTTAGTTTTTACCTAATAACCTTTCTCGGTTCCATCCGTATGCCTATAACGTTAGTTATCATGTCTTCTTAGGCTCTTGTTGACTCTGACAGTTTTCAAACTTTCCGTTGCTGATGACTGTGACAGTTCTGAGGGGTATTGGTCAGAGGTATATAGATGCCCCTCTGTTGGAATTTGTCAGGCTTTTCTCACGATTGCACTGGAATGACAGGTTTTGGGGGAGGAAGACCACAGTTGTGAAATGCCGTTTTCATCGTATCTTATTAAAGGTACATCCTATCAACACGATCGATCACTGTTGATGCTGACCATGGTCACGTGGCAGAGGTGGTCTTTCTTGGTATATCCACTCTGAAGGTACCCTCTTTTCCCTCTTTCCACACTGTCACCTGTGGAAAGAATCCCCTATACGTAGACCACTGTTAAGGAGTAGGGAATTATACTTCCCCCCCTTTAAAGGTGGAGTATT